GATAGCCCATATGCATAGGTCCATGTCATCCTGACAGGTTATACAAGGATATGCAAATGTACCTCTGTTCCTTCTTTTGTAACTATGAGGTCACCTGGGGAGTGGCTGTCTTCAGGATAGTGGTTTAGGGTAGCAGCACTGCCTAAACAATAGAATGTTAATGATTTGATGTCTTAAAGTGTTAAAGCGATTAACTGTTTGAGTTGTCCTTTTGTCATATTAATAAAGTCTTTTATTATATTCTCCCCCGTTTGTTTTTGGGTATAAAAATGTATGGAATGGAAAAATAAGATCGGGCAACTTCAATATTCACTGGAACGGCCTCCTGGTACTTTCCATGGTTTCTGTTCTTCTTATTTTTCATGTGTCTTCACATTCATTACTTATATTTCAAAAAGCCCGCACCCCTACCCTGACAAGAGGTATTTTTGTCAAGGCTGGTCCACAACATTTGCCTATATCTTGAAGTGCTTTCCCTACTTTACATATAGAATTTATTAGTTTTTTATATACACCGTATACATATATCCTGAAGTTAATCTCCCGAGGTATTTCAGCGTGCCTGGGTTTTGAGTATGGCTGATCATAAGATCTGTGTCATAATACTGGGGTTCAAAATACTCTAGATTTTTGGAACTTTATGAATTTCTGATTGCAGAAATTTGCATATGAAAGAGTCAACCAACAGGGAAGCTACAGAAAGGGAGAGAATGACACAATACACATGATTCCTCACATAAGTAAGAAACCCAAACAACCTCAGATAAGAATTGGCAAGGCAAGTCCCATGGGAAGACTGTTTCTACCTTCCACAAAGCTAAAACAGTGCTGGTCACCAAAGCCGTCACAATGAAAATGGCAAGTTCCACTTGTTTCCCATCATTGGTTAATGGATAAAGAAACTGCCTTGGCCTAGTTGATAGGGCAGAACTTAGGTGGGTGGAGAAAACAGAACTGAATGCTGGGAGGAAGAAGGGCGGAGTCAGAGAAGCCATGGATCCTCTGCCTGAGATGGACGCTGGTTAGAATCTCTGGTAAACTACTGCCACGTGGCCATACAAAGATTAATGGAGATGGGTTAAACTAATATGTAAGAGTTAGCCAATAAGAAGTTAGAGCTAATGGCCAAGCAGTGTTTTATTTAATACAGTTTCTGTGTGGTTATTTCGGGTGTAAGCTAGCCAGGCGTCCGGGACAAACAAGTGGCCTGGCTCTTCTTGCAACAACCACCAGTGGAGATTGGTATATGGATCTTATCAGAAGCCACTCTGACAATCCACTGGTATTACCAGTTAAGTAACTTCTCCTGTCTGGGTTTCTCAGACCACCTGAGGTTTCTCGGTGGAACTCTTTCAAAGGAAACTATGGCTTGGCTGTTGCTAAATCCACCCAAAGCTCAGGATGTCCCATGTCTCAACTTGTCTTCATTGAACTGATAACTGATTGGAGAATTAGGAAAACGTAGAAGAATCAAGTAGCCCCAGCTTTCCATGTCAGGCATCTTGAGGCACTGGGTAAGCTCCTTTGTGGCACTGCTTACCTATTTGATCACTGCAGAAAAGACAGTTTTTCCTGTGTGTCTTGTGGTCACCATTTGAACATGAATCTTTTCCCCGAGGAGTGGAGCCATTTAGATCATCTTACCTGCCTCTGGTACCTGACGCCACTTCCCTACAAATGGTACTGTGTCACCCGTCTCCCTGTGCTAAGCCAAACTCCTGCCTGGCCCTCACACTACTAGCACTCTGATCTGACTTCAAGAATCTTTTTATCATTATTTTTCTTTGATTATAAAAATATATACACTAATGGGGGGAAATCAGAAAATATAGAAACATCACTAAAGCACAGTAGGGGTAAGAGGTTGTTTCCGGACAAAGGATGAATGCCTCCAGTCTGGCTACAGGCAATCTGACATGACCATTTACCAAAATAACAAGAACAGGCTCTAACCTGGGGCCCATGACCTTCCCAGCTTTTGACTAGGATTATAGTGCCTTCCTTAAGATTCCTTCCTGTGGACCAGGCCTCATATCCAATTGAAAAGCAGTTAAGTTTCCCCCATAAGTCACGCCACTATTACACAAATGGGCAGATCTTGCCTGGTATCTTAGTTACTCTTCTATTGTTCTGAAGAGACACCAAGGCATCTCACAGGAAGAGGTTATTGGGGGCTTACAGTTTCATATGGTGAGATCATGACCATTTTAGTGGGGAGCACGGCAGCAGGCTGGTAGGCACTGGAGCAGCAGCAGAGACAAGAGATGGGGATGGCTTTTGAAGCCTCAATGCACCTGCCACCAACTCCCTATGATACACCTCCTGGGAGTACCACCCCCTAATTCTTCCCAAACAGCTCCACCCACTGGGGACCAAGTGCTCAAACACATGAGCCTATGGGGGCCATTCTCATACAGATGATCAGGGCTGGCAAGTCACTACTGATTCATGCTGGGTCCAGCACTGGATAGGAATACTGATGTCTCTTCTCAGCCCTCAGGATGACATAGCACCTTCCAGACTATAAACACTAGTCAGCAGGGATGGTTTTCCACACAACTGAAGCTGATTTCTTCAAGTCCTATCCAAAGTGTGTGTTGACTTCAGCAACAGGGACTTACCATATCGATATGATGGGTAGCTGTCTTGGAGATAGGGTTTCTATTGCTGTAATGAAACACAATGACCAAAAACCAAGCTGGGGAAAAAGGGTTTATGTAGCTTATGCTTCACCAATAAAAGTCACGACAGGAGCTCAATCAGGGCAGGGACCTGGAAGCAGAAGCTGACGCAGAGGCCATGCAGGGGTGCTGCTTACTGGTTTGCTCACAGCCTTTATTATAAACCCAGGACCAACAGCCCAGAGATGACATCACCCACAATAGACTGGGCCCTCCCCCACCAATCACTAATTAAGCTAGATCTTATGGAGGCATCTTCTCAGTTGAGATTCCCTCCTTTCAGGTAACTAGTTTGTGTGTCAAGGTGGCATAGGAATAGACAGCACAGTGGCCAAGGGCAATCAGGACTTTGATTTTGGAGACTTCTGGGGTCTCCTGATCAATAGGGAGTCATCCCTTGCCTTGTACTTCAATTTCAGTTTAATAACCCATGTCTTCTGGGAGTGGCACTGTCTCATTAATACGGGGAATCCTGTCCAAATTTCCTTTTCTAAACTTGTACTTAGAAATTAGCTAACTAGTGTGTTTCCGTAAAGTTGTTTACAAATATCCTTAGTTTTGGTTAGTCCACCAGCTACACTGCCCTCCCCTATAGCCCCAACCTCATACACACTAAATCCTTTATGCCCTAATATGCCTTGTAGGGCAATAGGAAAAATATTGGGGGGGGGGGGAGAAGCAAGCATTCTATTTGAGTATCTCTTTTTGAAAATGCAAGATTCTGAACAAATGCATATATGGTGTAAGCCTGTGTTTAAACTAGCATTCCGTGGAAAGATAAACTTGAGGTTCAGTGAGGCAGAAAACCATTTAAACACAAATAAGACTAACACAATGCAGGTCTCAAAAGTCATGGCCACAATCAGAAAGTTAAAGCCAAGGCTTAATTAGTAAGAATCCCTAACATATGGAGGAATGAATTTCCAACGAAATAAATGCTTTATGGAATTAAAACTCAGGATTTCATTACGTCTTGTAAATAAACCATTATTTTTCTTGGGTACTTGACTTTAAATTACTATAAAAAGTAATTTTTTTTTTTTGCAGAATACTAAAAAATTCAAAAAGGATGAAGGTCTCAGCCTAGAACTACTAGGAATCTCTTCAGCAAGTAGCCACAGTAGTTAAACACCTGTAGCAGACACACAGCTGTAGCAGACACAGGGGACAATCTGATTCTCCACTCTATAGGACCAGATCCAGGGGACAGACTAGCATGGAATGCCAAGCTCCTACGTAAACAGACAGAGATTACAAGATCTCAGGCATTGAGCTACATTCCTAAATTGGTGTTTTTAATGAGGATAACATAGAAACTAAAGATATTATCTTGCTCTATATAAAATGTGTAATTTCTTACATGCTAGGGGAGAAAATTGGTAAGTTCAAAATCAATTAAACCAATATTTGTATTGATTTTAAAGATGAGATTTTCACTTTCTACTCACTAAAACATTTTTTTTTTTTTGATTTTTTCGAGACAGGGTTTCTCTGTAGTTTTTGGTGCCTGTCCTGGAACTAGCTCTTGTAGACCAGGCTGGCCTCGAACTCACAGGGATTCGCCTGCCTCTGCCTCCCGAGTGCTGGGATTAAAGGCGTGCGCCACCACCGCCCGGCTAAAACATTTTTTAAGAACTATTTTGTGTGCACGTGTATGTACCAGCATCTGAACACGGTGTATGTGTGGAGGTCAGAGGGCAGCCTGCAGGAGATGGTTCTTTCTGCCACGTGACTCCTGGGAACACAACTCAGGTCATCATGAGGTGACTCTACCTCACTGGCTTCTACTTTACATTTTCTGTAACTTAAAATTAAGTGGGCTGGCTGTATGTTGCTGTCATAATTGCCATCTTCATATACCCTAGTCTTTGATCAAAATATTTTCAGGGTTTCTTACGTCCGCAGCTGTGCTAAGGTCATTTCTAGCTGCACCATCTTTTCCTAACATCACGTAATCAAATCCTGCCAGATATCTCACCAGAGACGTCTCGTCACACTCTCTACCCGTCTACAGGTGTTTAGGTGACTGTGGAGGAGGAGGCTTTGAGGTTTCTGGAGCTCACGCCATTCCCAGTTAGCTCTCTCTGCTCCTGTCGGGGATGAGATAAGCTCTCAGCTACTGTTCCAGTGCCATGCCTGCCGCCACACCCCCTGACATGATGGTCATAGACCCTTTAGAACACTCTAGAAATGTGAACCCCAAATTAAATGCTCTCTTTTGTAAGTTGCCTTGGTCAGGTTTTATTTTTGCCACAGCAAATGGAAAGATAACTAAGACAGTGCCTTCTTTTCGTAATTCAATACATATATTGCTAATAATTTACAAAGACACCAAAAACCACCTGTTTTATTTTCAAATCTTTACTTACATAGACTTGGTAGCACGTTTCTCCTTAGCTTTCCTTGCAAGATAATTTCGCAAAGCTTAAAATTGGGTATTTTAATATGTCACAAGTAAACATGGAAAAATGAGTTTATATTTTAGGGAAAAATCTTCCATTATTGTACAAACACTGATATTTACAATATTCTTAATGTAGATATATACAACGTAGCATATCATCTCAATGTACAAAACAGTTTTAAATTGTTACATTGTTGTAGAACGCTGTAAAATGCTAAGTGCTGAAAAACTCTCAAAAACTGCCAATACTGTGGGAAAACAGCAACAAGTTCATAAACTGTCACGCAGTATCTTACACAAACACAACTGTGCAAGTCAACTCCAATCTACACACTTACAGGCAATGACTCAGCTGCATAAACCATGCTAAAATCTAACTACAATTTTAGAATTCATATGCTAAAGCGGACAATTTTTTTCTTTGTCATGTTCTGTTTTAAAGATAGGCTCTTACTACGTAGTCCTATTCCTGGAATTCATTATGTAGACCAGGCTGACCTCAAACCCAGAGGTCCATCTGTCTCTACTTCTGAATTCTGGGATTAAAGGTGTGTGCCACCACACAGGGCTCAATTTTATAATATATGAAACAGGAATATGAATAGTGAGAACATTTAATGAATTCCTAGAAAGCTACTAGGAAACCTCAGAGAAAACCAACCAGGCATTTTCCCTGGGACTCATGAATATATGACAGAAACACCGAAGGAGGAAAATAAAAGCCACCCAGGTGTTGTGGGTTAATTTCACCTTTAAAGATTAGTTTCATTTAGAATCCTTTAAGTTCCTCTTGGATATTTTTATTTTCTTGTGATTTAATGGGAGCAATAAGGGAAAGAGGTAGCTTATCCTTTTCAGGAAATAATAACCTAAGTACAATACATTATTCTCCTAACTGTGATTTTTCTGGACATATGAAAAAATATATATTAAGTTGTAAGAGCGTTATTAAAGAATAGGAAAGTGGAGATGCAGATCAAATTTCTTTATTACATTTGTTAATGCTGATAGACTATGTTTATCAAAATGTGTGCTTTTATTTGTGCTTCTGTGAAGGTATTTTTCCTTCATGCCATGTGACACCAGATTAAGCATCCTGGTGGTAGAGGTGAGAGAAGAAAAAAAGAGAAGTTGGGCGGCCAGCTCTGCTACCGTAAGAGATCTACACGGGATGCCTTCTGATGACGGGCCAGCGTGTGACACAAGCAGGAGGGCAGTTAGGGCTGCACTCTTGGGCAGAATGGTGCTACCAGCTTCTCCATTGCACTCAAACCCGGAGATACATATGGGAAAGGTAACCTAAAAAGCAGGACAGCTCGAGCTGGCATTCTGAGGCTGCCATCTTCTTTGTCCTGAGAACTGAAGAGGCCGAAGGTTTTTGCAGTCTGCACGTCACAGCCCGCACCTATCCCGTCTGGGAGCAGGAGCACTCTGTGGAGAAACAACTGCAGGGAAATCTGAGCGGGTCTGTGTATCGCTTTCAGCAAGTGATACAAAGATCTTATACCTAGGAGCCGTGAGGACGGATGAATAAAAGGGCTTGAGATGAAAGGGAAGAAAGAAAGGAGCCTCACCCTGTGAAGTAGGCACAAGCTGTAAAAGCAGAAACTAGAATAAAAATGTCTATCTATCTGTCTCCTCACCCCAGCCCCGTCTCTGTCTCCCCCAGGACTGAATGGTAGTAAGCAATGCCCTGAGTTCTGGCTAGGATGCGAAAGAATAAAGCTCCACCAGGCAGAATGACAATAGATAACTTAGAGGTGGTGGGAAGGGACAGGGAACATTAACTGCATTTTCCTGAGGCCTCTGAATACAGACAGGGCAAACTATCCATTGGACACAGTGTCTCAGACTCCCAGGGCATGTAACCAAAATTTTACTTAATTTTTTAGTAAAAATAATAATAAGTTTTAGATAAAGGACTATTTTAATTCAAAATATGAATACTGTCATTTTATACAAACACAATTTTAAAATATAAATTTAAATTTTATACAGAAGGGGTCCAAGTGGGCAAAAGTACTCGGGGCCTAAAAAAGCTCATGAGCTGTGAGCACAGGTCAAACCAACTATAGCAATGGGCACTTTACAGGACTGGGGAAGAACGCCAAGATTAACTGATGGCCTGATTTGATTTCTTGAGTACTATTTTTGAAGAACACCACGTCTAACAGAGGAGAAGTACTGTTATTAATTTTCCTTACCCAAGGCAGAACAAGACACAAATTCTAAGCTCATTATTTTACAGCTGCTTCCTTCAAAGAGGCAGAGCGTGGGATGAAGGGTCTCAGGTGTCTCTGGTCCTCCACTGCTGCGCACACTGCTGGGAAGGGGTTTTCTCTAGGAGCCTGCTTCATCAACTTCTGTGTTGCATGCCTCCTCGGGTCCACACTCCTCGGTGCTTCTTTAAGGCCTTGGCTCCAACTATTTCCAGGAGGCCAAGGTTGGCAAGGCCAGCACAGGGGCCACCTGCAGTTGTCAAAGCACGCAGACACTGCGACAAGAGAGGAAAGCAGCATGGAGAACAGACAGGGCACAGCAGGAGACAGATGGTAAATCTGAATGTCTCAATTCAAGCTGCTGAAGACTGGTAAAGAAAGCCATGGTGGAAGCACTTATCTTTAATCCCAGCACTAGGGAGGCAGAGGCAGGCAGATATCTGTGAGTTCAAAGCCAGCCTTGTATATAGAACTAGTTCCAGGGCAGCCAAAGAAACCCTGTCTTGAAAAACCACCCAAACAAACAAACACCCCCCTCTCAAAACAATACAAAACAAAAAACCCACAAAACCAAACAACCAAAAACCCTCAGTAAAGAAGGTAATAATTCCTGTGTGAAGTTTTTCTGATAGTGGGTCTGAGATATCTGCACTCTGTATACACTCCTCTGCATTTAAAAATATTTTGTAAAATAATTATAAATGTATTCTATAGTCGGAAAAATAGACCCTCAATAGTTGCTTAAAAACTTGTGTTCTCAAGGCCCTCCACTCTGACTACTGCCATCTTTGAAGTCCTCAAAATATAGCTCAGGGTAGTGAAGATGATTAAACACGGGCATGTGAAAAACCCAGATTTGACAAAGAACTCTTAACAACTCAGCAACATTCCAGGAAAACATCAATGCAGCAAGTTAATCAACACGGGCTCCCAGGTCTGCTGCACAGCCTCGGGACAGACAGGTGAGGAGGAGAAGGGCACAAGAGAGTGAACTGCTACTGGCTTTTGCGGCCTCTGCTTGAAGAGACACCACATTATAAAACTCAGCTCTGAATTTCAACTGAGACTCCTGGATTTAGAGATGTGACAGAATTAAGGTCTTATCCCAAAGCTGGCACAAATTAGGTTGGGAGCTCAATTCCTAGTTTTGTGCTTTGGAGTTCTTATACTTCCAGACTTCAAGGGTATTTTACCAAGTATGTTTCATTGTTCATAGTAAATGTACACAGGGGAATGGAAAACTATTAGTTTCCTTTAAATATATATACATTCATTTGGGAACTGTACAATCTTAAAATGAAGTTAGAAAAGAAGCAACCTAAAAAATATCAGCAAATTAAATCAGAGCTGGAATAACACTGGGAGGTTAGATGTTTTAGCCTCAGCTGTCCGTAGGAACCTTGGCCCAGAGAAAACAAACTCCATTTCTTTAAATTGTATAGCCCAAATCAGATTCAGGCCACCTAAGACTGTGAGGCTACTCCATCCAGTGCTGCCTTGTTCTTTGGTTACATCTGCAGCAACAAAAAAGGAAAATTCTAAACTCAAATTCAGTTTCAGGGTAACTAAACTGTCACCAGTAAGAGGGCCTGGACAATGGGCAAACACCAGTTGTCCAGCTAACACAAATATTCCCTAATTGGTCCTTGTAGTGATATTTTGTTTGTATTTTTTTAAAAGATTTTTATTTATTATGTATACAGGGTTCTTCCTGCATGTATCCTGCAGTACAGAAGAGGACACCAGATCTTATTACAGATGGTTGTGAGCCACCATGTGGTTGCTGGGAATTGAACTCAGGACCACTGGAAGAGCAGCCAGTGCTCTTTACCTCTGAGCCATCTCTCCAGCCCCCTTTTGTTTGTGTTTTAACAAATAAAGCTTGCCTGAAGATCAGAGTGCAGAGCTAAGCCAAGTGTGGTGGCGCACACCTTTAACCCCAGCACTCAGGAGACAGAGGAGGAGGGATCTCTATGAGTTCAAGGCCATCCTGGGCTACACTAGATTGATCCATCTCAAAGTGAAACAGAGTCAGGCAGTGGGGCCCACACCTTTAATCCCAGCACCAGGGACGTGGAGATCAGAAGTGATATGGCTGGACAGAGAGAGGAATATGAGGCAGGAGGAGACAAGAGCTCAGCGCAGTCAGAGGACGCAGTCTGAGGACGCAGTCAGAGGACGCAGTCAGAGGACGCAGTCAGAGGAAGCAGTCTGAGGACGCAGTCTAGAGGACGCAGTGAGAGGCCACAGTCAGAGGATGCAGTGAGAGGCCGCAGTCAGAGGATGCAGTCTGAGGATGCAGTCAGAGGATGCAGTCAGAGGATGCAGTCTGAGGATGCAGTCAGAGGATGCAGTCAGAGGCTGCAGTCAGAGGCCGCAGTCAGAGGATGCAGTCTGAGGATGCAGTCAGAGATGCAGTCAGAGGATGCAGTCAGAGGCCGCAGTCAGAGGATGCAGTCTGAGGAGGCAGTCAGAGGAGGCAGTCAGAGGACACAGGAACTCTTGGTGACCACTATATGAGAACGAGCCCATATCTCTTCCTTCTCACATTACTTATAATAGGAAAGTTTAGAATTTTATAGATTAAAAGAAAAAATATTTAAGTTATATTGCTTTAAAATCTCAATTATTTACAGTAACATGCTAAGATTAGAACACAATGTCTTACTTTTAAAATATTACAAGAACAAATCCGTTGTACTGTTCTCTTCAGCCAGTCCATTTTCTTCCTTGCTTTTGTAATTGGAAAGGAACAAATTTTCTATCTGGGTCAAGAATTCCTCAGCGATGAAGCAATTGGCTACTCTGCTCAGTGTTTTCCTTAGACACTCCATAAGCTAGTTGAAAAGAAAAGGTTACGTTTAAATACTTCAGTCGGAAGAGGCTTGCATAACTATCACAATTTCTTGTCAAACCCCAGTAACACTCAAATGAGAAACACCGCTCTCAACAATCTCAGCCTGGACTACCGGAATCGCTGCTGAAGGTTGAGTTTAGCTCCCTCACAACTCCACAGGAAGTCAACATGTGCAAGCAGCGCTCCCGGCTCTGGCCAAATCTGTGATCTCTGCCCATTGTAACCACATGGTTACATCCGCAGAGCCGTCTGAAGACTGAAGAGCAAACAACAGGAACAATGAAGCACACAGAACTGTGGGTCCAAGTATGAAGTCTGGAGAGCAGATACAAGGCTCAAAACTGAGCTCCAGCACCATCACCAGACAAATGAACAGAGAGACAGAGACAGGAACAAAAAATAACTAAGTACATAGTTTTAGGCCAGTTTTCCTGGAGATGCACACGTTGATTTTTCAATAGTATGTAGACAAATGTAGCAAAAAGAACTTAGTATGCTTATTCTTTCTGAATATTCCCACATGACTAAAACAAAAGTGTTGACAGTCTATTCATCTTAACCAGAAGTGTGTGTGTGTGGGGGGAGGGGGGGTGGTTGACTGTTCTAAACCCTTATTTTCCAAGTACTAAGTTAGAACAAAATGATCACTTAAACTTAAATTAGATCTATACTATATTTTTTTAAATGGCCAACTATTATGGTCAAAAGGGAAATATGGTACTTATGAATTTTAAAGAAAAGATCAACAGTTCTTCATTGTACACAAATGTAACCTGCTAAGAAATATATCAGTCAACACTGACAAATGCACTCTAGAAGAGTATTATTTCTATGTATACCTTTAGCCAATAGAACACATTAATTTTACAAAGTACATTCATAAAGGAAAACAGAATGTATTCACAGAACAGTGGGAAAAACAAGAACAGCAGCTTTGGAATCTGAATAATGAAGTCTGTAGGTGGAGACTGCTAATTCATTTCCCAGCCACCCACACACAAATAACAACACAGAAACTGTATTAATTACAACATTGTTTGGCCAGTAGCTTATGTATATTTCTAGCTAACTCTTACATCATAGATTAACCCATTTCTATTATTTTGTGTATCGCCATGAGGTTGTGGCCGACTCTGGCTCGCGTCTTTCTCCTTGTACTTTCTCTCTCTATCTCTGTTCAGATTTCCCGCCTGGCTTTACTCTACTAAGCCACTTAAGTAACTAATGGTAATAAAATATATTCATAGCACACGGGGGAAATCCCACATCAGAAGCCAATTAATAATGAAGGCAGCTTACTTTCTGCAAACAAGTTAGGTCAGAATCCCGGCGAAAGATTCTATCCATGGGGACACTGCTGTAAGAAGGAATTTGAAAAGAAACTGGTGACAAAGACACTCTTTGTTGTGCAATAAACTGTCCCTGATGCCAGACATCAGGGTTCCATATTTAATCTAGGCTTTTCCTTCTCTGATTCAATTTAATGAGAAAGACTGCAAATGTGGGGCTACCACAAACCATACCACGTACCTATGGGAAAGCCTGTATTTCTCGATTATCCATCTTGTCTTTTCAAACACTAATTCCCACTGAGGTTCTTCTAGCATCTGCTGGACTTCAAATTTGTAGGGTAAACCTAGAGAATGTAAAGAGCACACTGTCATCAACTCCAATCTCCTTTTCTGACAATTCCGTGAAAAGACAGGATGGCATCTCACTCTGCAGAAAAGGGCAGTATCAGTTAACAAACTGTTCTCGGCAAAGTAAGGCATGGTACCTTCCGAGGTACAAGCCATCTCGCCCATGGGAACGCTGATCAGCAGGCAGCATTCCTAAGAAAAGCTGGCAGAAGCAGCAGGCCTTGAGACTGTGCAGTTCTTCCCAGGGGCAGTCTCCTGCCTCTGCTAGCTTCTTCACAAACTGAGCTGTCCATACTTTACTAAGTGCTCAAGGGGTATTTTCTACAGCTCCCTGGAGCTCACTTTGAAATATAGCAGACTGTTCTCTGGTAATGTAGTTGTCTCAGCTCCATCACTTCCACTCACGTTTGCCAGCTGTGTTTCTCTCCTCCTGGTCACTAAAGTACAGCAACCTGGGCTTACCTGATTTGTTTCCCATCTTCTAGCAACCACATCCTAAGTAAAATACTACTGTTTTGTATATTTTGCCTACTATTTTGGTTGATTCAAAAAAGTCCTTATTACTTCATTTTGGCCAGAAACAGAATTACACAAATTTTAAATTATTAAATTCTAATGAATAAACTGTGAATAGTCACATGTCCTCAGTACCAACTAACTGTATTAGATATGACTGGCATAGAGGCTCATAACCAAAACCCAGAAGGCTGAGATCTGACTTAAAGTGAAGAAAAGTCTATTGTAGCGCTTTCTGTTTAACTTTTATAAATTACAGTTAAGTTGGGGATAATGTGCTTTATGTGCTGTGCTCAGTAGGGCATTCTGAACCACTCCTGATATTATTTACTCAAAAAAATTCACAGTGTCGATTAACTGGTACTAAGGATATAAAAATAATAAACAAATTGCATTAAAAGCCAAAGTGGTCATTAGAAAAGTACGGCAGACTTATTAAAAAAATACATTAGCAGTCAACAGTGCTGAGATTTTTACCAAGGACAGAGCATCAAAGATGATTAAGAATAAAGAGAAATTAATTGCTAAGCAAACATTCATTTAGAATCCACTTTATGCCGGGCTCCATGCTGGAAGCAGCTAGAAAAGTGAGTACAATACACTCTGTAGTGTCAAAGGCGTCCAGACTCAAGAGGAAAGGGAATGGTGCGAATGTAGTTCACACAGAACCACACACCCAGAGACATCTGAACCTCCACCCACCTCCTTACAAAGTTCCCTTCCTGCCTGTCTTAGTCTGCTGTTAATAATTCCCATGTAGACAGAGCTACCCAGAACAGTCACCAGGAGACACACAGGAGACATACATCCCAGAGAAACTAAGCTGGGTAGTTGGCTACGTCAAACAAGATCTTTCTTGAGACAGACGAGACTTGCGAGATCTGAAGTCAGTCTGTCTTTGGGAATCCTACTATCCCAGGAGGTAATAGAAAGCTGGGTTATGGTTTTGTTTATTTGCATGCCATAGCAGAGAAAGCAAGAATGAATTTATGAAAATATTTTTATGAGAAAAGAACTGTGTTTTATGTTCTACAATGTCTCCAGTGCCCAGTATATATACACTTCCTATGCATGCAATGTTTACAGTGCTCAGTATGTACACTGTGCAACACAAAGTCTCCAGTGCTCACGATCCACTGCCTGCTCTAATGTTTCACCATATTTTCTTCCTTTTATCTAAGGACATGGTAACACTAGAATGAAAGGAAAGAGGGTACTTTAACTAGGTGATATGCAATAAGTCCTTGGCTGACACACACTTTCTCATCAAGTAGTTTTACACAGTTATAAGTTCTTTGAGGACAGGGACAGTAAGAAGTTATCACTGTTGAAACTTACGATAGGCACCATCAGGGCTAACTTCTTCACTTATAACCAAGCAGGTAATCTGGGAGTATGGTAAAGAGTTACTTCGATTATACGGACTAACAATCATCCCAATGAACTTTGCTCCTCCTCTGGAGAAGTAACTCTGCAATGAAAAGTATAATTAATTTCAACTATCATGGCTCTAACTGATAGTTAACTGGAGGAAAGAAAATAAACAAACAAATAAAAAAAGGGCCCTATCCAAATAACAGCAACTGAATGAAATGTCTTATGTACTCATTTCAGGCCCAAACTGTTCACCTTCATCAGAGACGCTCCTTAAAAATACAAACAGCATGGCTGGGAGCTGGCTTAGGATGCAAGAGTAGTTTACAGGCAGGAGAACCAGGTTTCACCTGTTCAGAATCTGCATAAGCCTACTGTAATCTGTTCTAGGCACCTGTAACTTGTAGCCTTAGTACTGGGGCAGGATGGAAAGACGGCAGGACTGCTGGGTACCAGCTTAGCAGCAGGGTTAGTGAGAAATCCCATCTCAAGGGAATAAAACGGAAAGTGACAGAACAGAACCAAATGTTCTTCCCTGGCGCATGTGCAAACACACAGGAGTGTGCGCCTCACCTCACAGACATACCTACAAAACTGAAAACAAAAAAACAACAGAAATGCCGCATATATTAGGTGTGGTGGTACACATCTATCAGTACTTAGGAGGCTGAGATAGGAGAATGCAGAATTACCACAGTTCTAGGCCAGTCTGGGCCCACAGAGTAAGTCTTTGTCAAACAAAACAAAACACACAAAACACATACCACAAATGTGTTTACATACATGATGTCAAATCATTTGACTGTAATTCTTATTAACACTGCAATAATTTACGAATAGCTACCTACACAGAAAATACACATTAGGTGGGGCAGTAGTGGTGCACACCTTTAATCCCAGCACTTGGGAGGCAGAGGCAGGCGGATCTCTGTGAGTTTGAGGTCAGCTTGGTCTACAAGAGCAAGTTCCAGGACAGGCCCCAAAGCTACAGAAAAACCTGTCTTGAAAAATAAAAAGAAAAGAAAAAAAACAAAAACAAAAACAAAGGAAATGCACATTAAACCTAACAGTGAGTAAAAATACAACTTGTTTTTTACAAAGAGATATATCAACGTTTCCGATTACTATAGTTATAACAAGTCTAGTCCTATTTCTTCCTGACAGTTTTTTAAGGGCTCTGCCTTGTCCATTCACACACACACACACACACACACACACACACACACACACACATCTGCATACACTCAATTGTTGACTTTCCCAATGCTTACTGATTTAATACGAAAAAAAGCAAGTTATTTCAAAACTGAAGATGTAAAGAATGTTAGTGTAAGCTAAAAATAACATGTTTTATTTCATGAAAATCAATAGGAGGATGTATAATAATTTACAAAATGTAGGTACATAACACTATAAACACACCTGGTATTTGGCTTGTGTGTCAATATCTCGTAAAGATGGATTTGGATCAAAGGCAGGATGAGAATGGTACCACCCAATAACACTGTAGCCTCTAAGAGCCAAGGTTTCTGAAGCCTGTGTTTGTGATACAGGATCCATCTCGCATTGTAGTCCTGTGCTCAGACTGTTACATGGTTCTGCTGCACAGACCTGTAAAGGATTGTTCTTACATTATAGTGAAATCCCACCAATTCTATTACTTGCCAAATGAACCCCAAAAGAGAGATTGTAGTCTACAAACTCAGGTAGCATTTTTCTAATCTAAAAGGTATGATAATGGTTAGTCTTCCAGGTTGCACCATAACACCTACCCAGAGGCATTTTCAAAAATTTCTATTACATATGAAAATAATTTCAGCAAAATGAAGCACCCAGTATTTACCCACCAGCACTAGAGTACATTACTGCTCTTCAAAGTTGGAGCTTTTCACTGAGGAAGGGAGTGGGCAGCCAAGGCTGGCAAAATCCTCTTCCTCTTGATAGAAACAGATGTTCAGTAAATGGAACGCTAAGTCACTTCTGAATACTTAGTTCTATACTTGCATATTCTCACACATCCAGATACAACCCAGTATTTTAATTATATTTTCTGAACTCTATAAAATATTTGGTATAGTAGCAAGACTTGGTAACTGAACTGTTTGAAACATTAAAACTTACTTCAAGGGTCTTCTCAGCCTCTGAGTATCTTCCTCCTAACAGCCCAATCACCTCCGCCATAGACACGTGAGCATGCTACAGGAAACAGGACAGACGCAGACCTTATCCACACACGCAGTCAGCGAAGACCTAGGACAGCTGCACAGCAGCAGCCGCACTGCTCTGAACAGAGCACAGCAAGGCGCTGGCAGCTGGGCTGGAAGCAGGGGACTCAGGCGTCAGCCCCTTCCTGCTGCTAGGAAGCTTTGAAGCACACAGCGAAGATGGAACTTGTTCACTTAAAAGGAAGACACCATTTGCATTCAAAGGGCAGAGTGAGTTCCTCTAGAACTCTCTGTAGTCAATGACCTCAGATGCACACACCTGTTAGAGGGTCTGCAGTGCAGGGCACACAAGGAGCCTCTGTGATTTACATGTAGTGGATGGCAGTCACTACCAGGCAGCAGACACAGGATATTAGAAAATGGGTGACAATCTGCAAAACTCACGGCAATTTGTTTTATAAAATATGAAAATATGTAATTGTCTGGCTTTCCTTCAAAAGAAAATTAGATTTCTTATAAAGAAAATGTTTAAAATCTGACATAAAAGTCTTCTACTTTCTCTTAGGCCTATAAAAGATGAATAATGGAAATTCAAGAACAGAAACCAGAATAACTAAGTGAAGTACAACAGGTTATCCTTACCACATCCATTATTAGTAATGCTTCTGAAGCTACCTTCACCTGAAACGGCTCCTGGAATATAAAAAGGAAAGGAGAACATAAAAACATAAACAACAACAAAACCAAACCCAAAAAAAGCATAGAAACAAAAACATTTTGTTCTCAGTTGGAATATCCACCCTTTTCTCCTTACCCACCCCACCAAGTTTTCATCACTAATCAAAGTGCAGTACAAATGAGACTTAAAACTCAGCTGCAAAGTCCTAGCAGCAAACTGCTCTTCCCTCCCACCTTCTGCCTGGCTGGGTCACCGATCCTTACTATATCCTGCTGTGTCCAATTCACCCACACAATTGCCTCACACAAATGGTAAAGGGTAAGTATTTCCTGTCCCATGGGGGCATTACTTGTGATTACTCATTGATATCAAGTACCTGCTTTTCTTCACTGAAAAAATTACAAGGTATCAGTTGGAATGGATCAAGTGAGCTGAAAAAGAAAAAAGATCAATTACTAATTGGAAAAACTAGTAATAATATAAACTCACACTTCTGCCTGTATGAACAAATATTAGAGCAGGAGAACCATTCTAAGGAGGAGTCACACGTCCTTTTAGGTCTGACAGAAAGCAGGAACTCTGGGACAAGGCAACTTCAGCAACTGAAGGAGCTGGCGAGCAGACGAAGGAGAGATCATAAGTTCAGGGACAGCTATTTCCCCAGCTGTTCAGGAAGTTCAAGTAGGAGGTTTCTCAAAACAGCTGGTCAGGCTGTTGTGATGTATGCCTTAACCCCCACTACTCGGAGGCAGGGCCAGCCTGGTCTCCAGAGTGAGCTCTAGGCCAAACAGAGATGCACACTGATACTGTCTCATAGAAAACACATACACACCAATACCTGTCAGTATCCTAACAGATCCACTACAGTGGGGACTCAATAAATACTTTCTATACAAAGGGCAACAAATAAGTCTATTACAGAAACTAAAGCAAACAGAAAGCCCGACGACATTATTTCAGAACGTAAAGAGATGGAGAGGGGAATCTAAGCAAGGCCAAATACAAAAGCATGTGCAAACCAGAAAAATACTAAGAAAGGCTTTGACCACTAAAAATTAAGTTTTAAAGAAAACAGCAGAACAATTTTTAAAATTTATTATTATTTTTAGAGTTATAAAATTTTACTTTATGTGTATAAGTGTTTTGCCTAAATGTAGACATGTATGTGTAACTGGTACCCACGATGGTCCAGAGGGTGTCAGATCCCTTGGAACCAGTTATGGATGGTTGTGAGCCTCCACATGGGTGCCGGGAACTGAACCTAGGTCCTTTGCAAGAGTAGTAAGTGCTCCTAATTACTGAGCTATATCTCCAGGTATCAGAACAATGTTTATAGAAAGAAAAGCAACTGGAAATGTTTCTATGAAGACAACTTGCAAAGAGTAGCATGTTGAATTCCCATCTGACAAAAGAGTCTGTGAGGAAGGGTATTTTTTTTAATTAGGCTTCTGCCCCAGGGTCCAAAACATGTAGGAATTTTCAAAGCTGAATAAAAAGATCTTTAAGTTAACTGAATGAAAAGTAAGATGGGTGAGATAGGACATGCTTGTAATCCTAGCACTTGGGCGGTAGAAGAGGAGGATCAGTGGTTTAAGGTCGTTCTCAGCTACACCTCAAGTTTGGGACCACTTTGGGACAGACTCTGTGTCAAAACAACAAAACAAAATGACATCTCCCCCACAAAAAAAAAAAAAAAAAAAAAAAAAACCACCAAAAAAAAAAAAAAAACCAAACTAACGGTTCAGGCACTGGAGAAATGGCTTGAGGGTAGGAGTACTGGCTGCTTTTGCAGAAAACCAAGGTCTGACTCCCAGGGCCCACATGGTAGTTCACAGCCATCTGGAACTCTAGTTCCAGGGATCCAACACACTCTTCCAGCCGCCAAGACTATCACTACATGTAGATAAAACAGCCATACCATAAAAAACAAACAAACAATAATAATGCAGACTGAGACAGACTGGAAACGTTGAAGAGAGAATACACTTGAGGATGTCTGTGAACTTGACCTACACAGACAGGAGCAGGTTGGTATTTCTCGAAGGGTTGCTGAGGATGGCTACAGACACTTCACGGACAAAACACAAACAGTTCATACCGGAAAGAGGAGCATTAGATACTGAATATCAGTGAGGTTCTAGATGAGCAAAGAGGTAATTAATATCAATGGATTCATGAAAAATATGTCACAGTAAATATACATACACTGTTGGTGGGAATGATTTGTTGCAAACTAGATGCTACCATTTTCAAATCTGAGTTTTAAGCAAGACATCTATGATCTGTGTGCTAATAAGATAAATGCATATTGTTTACTGTGTTAAAGTGCATTAGACAGCTGAAGAATGGTTTCCCAGGCTTATTCCAGTAGACCTCTTTATTAGGTGATCGATGATAGAAAAGTTACAACTTTATTGCAAACTTCAATGCAAAAAGTACAAAGATTGAGAGAAGTTACAGGTGGATTTAAAAGGCTCCTGGCAAGACTGAACAGCATAAAAATAAAATAAAGCTAAATTTCACAGAGATTCAGAAAATAAAATTTGGAAGGCGTCTAGGCTTATTAATGGTTTTTTTTCTTTTTTTAAAAAATACTTAGCCCATTTGTCCACAGGGTAAGGTTCAATTTCCATTTTGCAGAGGTAACAGACAATGTGCTGAGTTATACTACCAGGTCTAAGGATTCCTGAGTTTAAATCCGTTTTCACACTAGGTAGCATGACCAAATACTACATGGCCACTTCTTTGTCACTCGGTTTTTCTAAGGTAAAATGGACGTGATACTCACACTGCAAAGGGTTACCAAGTGATTAAGTGTGCTCACATAAAGTACTTAAAACACGGCAAACAACATCAGCCACTTTAATTATTTTATAAGCGAGGAACCAGGCCCTGCCAAGGAAATATAACTGCCACAGCATATAGTGGCATACTACGTGTGGTTTGATAAGTAAAGCTTGCCTAAAGATCAGAGGGCAAAGCAGTCATCCTAGTCAGCCATACAGGCCAGGGAGTGATGGCACACACCTTTAATTCTAGGACTCAGGAGACAGGGGCAGATGATTCTGTTAGTTCAAGGCTACCCTGGGCTACAAAGGAGTGAATCAGTCTAGAAGAGAAACAGCTCATACAAAGGTGATCCCAGCAGTTGGGATCGATCAGATGTCTTTAATCCCAGCACTAGGGAGGTGGAGACAGGAGAGATATGGCTGGGTGGAGAGACAGTAACTCAGTTAGAGTGTACAGTCTTTAGGATTCGTGAGGATAGGATCTCATCAGTCTGAGGTCTTTGCTTTTTTGATCTTCAGAAAATGTGAACCCAAATAGCTGTCTCTGGGTTTTTATTATTCGTGCTACAACAGCATTTCTTAATATCTTGCTTTGAAAAGTAAAAGGCCAAAGCAAGATGCCTAGAAAATCAAGGAATTCAATGTACTCAGATGTAACATGAAGAGGTCGAGCCTGCTTGTTTGTGGGTTTTTCTGTCCTCCCACCAGGTCCCCACAATTATTTAGTCCCAGAGAAAATCACCCACACACAGGACTCCGTAAATTATAATGCTGATTGGCTCATTAGGTCAGGCTTCCCACTGGCCAACTCTCATATCTTGATTAACACATTTTTCTGATCTATTTTAGCCATGTGGCTCAGTACCTTTTTCAGTGGGGCAGCTCACATCCTGCTGCTTCGGTGATCTGGGCAGGACTGGGAAGAACCAACTTCCTCCTCCCCAAAATTCTCCTGCTCTCCTTGCATCATTTCTACTTCCTGTCTAGTTTTCCCACCTACACCTCCTGCCTGGCCAATCAGCATTCATTTAAAATATGATTGACAGAATACAGACAATTCTCCTGTATCACTTCCCCCTCTTTTTTTTAAAAAGCAAAGGAAAATATCCATAGTCCGTTTTTTGGGAATGTGGGCATAGTATTCCAGGCTACTTTCAGCTGGTTGGGGGCGCTGATAATCTTATGGGGACCTAAAGAAAATTTAGAGTTATGATCAAGTCCTGACTGAAGTATCCTGTGAGTCTTGATCATCTCAGGCAGCAGTCTTGAATCTGTTCTGTATGAAGAACTCAGACATCTGGGCCATCTGTTCCTACCAGAGATTTTTCAGGTGGCCTTCCTTGGTTAAAAATGATTTTTCTTAACACTGAATAAATCCATAGCCTCTCATTTTCTGTGGAAACAAAAGTAAAATCTTTTCTTCAAAGTAACATACCTTTTGACTTCAATTTTGAAGTCAAGGTATTTTCAAAATACCTATTTTCAGCATTTATAAGTAAATATCTTTTAGCAGCTGTTGCTCCTTCCTCAGCATTTAAACAATTTAAAGAGAGCATAATAGCATATAGTATCGAGATTCTCTGTATATTTTCCATCTTTATGTGGCTTTATTTTAACCTCTATTTCTTTTATTTTTACTTTTAACTTTTGGCTTTTTGAGACAGGTTCTCTGCATATCTTTGTCCTGGAATTCCCTCTGTAGACCAGGCTATCTTTGAATTCCCAGAGATCTGTCTGTCTCTGCCTCCCAGGCTACTCGTTTTTTTCTTTTCTTTTTTTTTTTTTTTTTTAACTCTGAGAACTTTAACCTTTAGCCTGTATATATTTTTAACAAAATGTAAACCATTTAGAGGTTTTCTTACTCTTTGAATCTCTCTTTACTGTATATCTCTCTTTTTCTGACCACATGGGTCTTTAATTTACTAAGGAATATGGAGAAAACAACAGTCAAAAGCTCCTATGGCTTTTCAAGGTCCTTGCCAGGAAGCAAGCTGCAACATTGTTTCCATACTCTGGACTGCCTGCTTGAAAGAGTCAAGAGTTTTCCCTGGCAGGACGACCCAGAAAGCCGACATTTTAAAACAGCGCAGCTTTTTTCCTGCTATGGCTGAAAACCAAAATGCTTTACTCTAGTCTTTCCCAAGCTTTCTCAGGCTTTTGTGGACTCAGTTATCCACATGGGCGCCATTCTGTAACATGAAGAGGTCGGGCCTGCTTGTAATTTACTTTTTCTTTGGTTTTGTTTTTTTGTTTTTGTTTTTTTTTTTTTTTTTTTTTGAGACAAGGTTTCTCTGTGTATCTTTGGCTGTTCTGGAACTCACTTTGTAGACCAGGCTGGCCTCGAACTCAAAGAAATTCGCCTGCCTCTGCCTCCCAAGTGCTGGGATTAAAGGCATGACACCATGCCTAGTCACCTCCATGTATATCTTATACAAAGCATCCACTGAAGCTACTGGTAATTTGTTCACATATTTCTTAACTGTGTGTGTGTTAAGAAAATACATTATATAACACTGTACCTTTTTGGTAGTTTTGAAACTTTTGAAGATTTAACAGGTTTGCACTTTTCATCCTCTCTTCTTTTTGCCAACTCTTCTGCAGACAGATGCTAAAACAAAACAGTCAGTCAAAGAGTTCATCAGCTACTCATGCAGAAGAAATCAAACAGCTAAGGACATGTGAGAGCAAGACTGACCAAGTCAGTATGCACTGCTTCCTTACTACTAATGTATACTGGGCCATAACTTTTAAAATTATGCCATAATATATAGCCTTATCAAAATGAAAATGTGTTTCTTCTCCCGATTTGCCCATTTCGATCAAGAGTATCAGTCCTTGAGTTTCAAAAACCTCCAAATCTTTATTTCTCATTTCTAGTTTCCAAGACTCAGGTGGCTAACTTTTCTTTTACAACTTAAGACAGCACCGGTAATGATCAAGAATGCAGATTTCAATGGCTGAGGGTGATAAAGTAGTACTTTGTCTAACATGCATGAGGCCACATCTCTGGCACAGTGGGAGTGAGATGCCCCAACATCATAAAATTCTGGAGCGGAAGTGCATGGTTCTGCTCACTATCAGTGGAGAGACCACTGCTGAGCTCTTCCTTAGAAAACAAATAAGAGCAGCAGCAATTACTGTCACAGTGTGCTGTGAAATTAACACGCATGTTCATGATCTAGTCATTTCTACTACCACCCCTGCACTCTAATGTAACAGATGCACCTTTCCCAGAACAGTAACATTTTCCTGTATCTGTACCTTTGCTTGTGCAACTCCCTCAGCCTAGAATGCTTCCATCTACATTTTGAGATGATTCTTCTCCTGATCCTTTGGTTCAAACTCTTTCCTCATCACTCTTTGGGAGTACCTCATATCCTTAGACCAACCTTATGGAAGGAACCATGTATTACTTATCAATATGCCAACAAGAGGTCTAGGTGTAAGGTTAGGGACAGGAAAGTGGGGGAAGGAGCATGAGAAAGGTAACACTTATTGAGTACCTTATCCAAGCAGGCTTACCGAATGACTAACACTAGGACCTTAATATACTTCATCTCATTTCTTTTAAATCCTTTCAGGATGAAGGGCCCAGACCCTCACCCAGCCCCCGCCTTGGCAGTCACAACAGGCTGCAGAAAAGGCCAGCAAGATGTAGGCCCCTGACTTAGCAGACCGTGCTGAGCCTCCGAGCTTGCCCTAATTACGGGAAGAAGCTGCCAGAAGTCCTCCTTATGGTAAGGAACCAATCAGAGGTTAGCTGGTGGCTCTGGTTATGCTCTGCTGATAATGGGAGAATGCAGGAACCACCCTTCTCCCCATGGCCTCCAGGTACAGCAGCAATCTTTCCACAGATGCAGCTAACCAATCAACTTAGGACACCTTCCCCAAGTCCGAAGATGTGCCAATCCTGAAAAGACCCCCAGACCCCCACACACAACCACTTAATTACCCCCAATAAATGCCCTGCCCCACTGTGGCTCGGGGTCTCTCCTACTCCACCCGCTGTGTCAGACAGATGGAGGACCAAAGTTAACTTGTAATTTAAAAGACTCTGCTTTTGCATTAGATCTGGTCTCTTGGTGGTTTTTGGTGGTCCAGACTCTGGGCACAAGAAAAGAGGTATCATTCATACTTCATAAATTAAAATTTGAGATTTAGTGCAGTTAAGTAGCTACTTGAGACAACAAAGCTAATAAAAATATATTTATACCTTCTTTCCACTCTACTACATTAATTATCTACAACAAATTCTATATGTAAACTGGTGTGTGTATGTATGCATATTTGTTGCCTATGTTTCCTTTCAGGGTCCCAATTTCTACAGAAATAACACTTCAATATTTATAATTAAGTATGCCTAATGTTTAGAACACTACTTTAATTGGTTTCACAAACATCATTCAAAGGAACATCATTTAATGAAATGAACAGAGCATACCAACTCCTTAGTCTGGCACTTATTCTTGACTTAGAGATAAAGAATCAAAAGTCTGAGTGCAAGTCAGACTCCTAGTTAACTACTACAGATACCTCTAGTACTACAGATACTTCTGATTTGGTTAATGGTAACTTTTCAATAAACTGACAAGGGAACAGCACACATACTTCAACAATAAGATTAGCATAATATATGGGAATTAAAATAATGAGACAGACAAGTTTTCAAGGACAAGCCACAAATAAAGTCAAAATTACCTCAAATGTTTGCCCTTCTAAGTCTTTTGCATCACACCAGTTTCCCCATGGGTCTCGGACCCTACGTCTTCTTGTACGCTATATTAAGAAAAAAGTAAAGGCAAAATGTAACAAAACTCACAAACTCCTCAGCACACAAACACACAAAACTTAAATAATAACTATCTAAATCTCCGTTACTTGAGTATTTTAATGTCTGATCATCAACTCACTAAACTGTATTCTGCTGATCACGGCTAAGTCATTTCTCTGCTTAGGGATACTCAACCAACTTCTCATGGGCACTAGCAGCAGCTAGCAGGGTAGGAGCTAAGTGGTGGCATCGAGGTACCACTTTAAACACACGTTGCTGATGACTTTCTGCATTTTACTTGATTTCTTCTTTATCTTCCTTTCTATTACCACTTAGGAGCTAACATACCAGGAAAAAATACTGTGAAGACTAGAAAGAAGCACCAAGAAAACAGATTTGCTTCTAATTATCTGTGGTAGAAAGGACCACACAGCAAAAGATATAGTGAAAATAGAAGCAAAATGATTACCCCAGATTTAGAAAGGGCATTGCCAAGTTAATTCAAACGGTGAAACACTAGAAAACGCGTGGCGTCTGTGACTCAAACAGTGTTGCAAACCTCACATCCGAGGTGTTTAAATGGACCAGCTGCCAAAGAGAAGGGAGGTGTGTAACTTGCACGATCTCCAGAGTCACTTGAAAATAACCTTTCTGAAGACAGCAAATTCAGGTAGAAATGGTTCACAGCCAAAACAGTCCGAGACTTATTTTACCTGTCACCACTGCAATGTGAATGAGAACTTATTACATTTTACCTTATAGGATACTTACTGGATAACTGTTGTTTTTGAGACAGAGTCTCACTGTGGAGATCAGGCTGGTCTTGAACTCACTGAGATCTGCCTGCCTCTACCTTCTCAGTACTGAGGTTAAATGCATGTGCCACCACACTCAGCTCGTGTGTGTCACTGTGTTTGTTTTTGTTTTCTTAATGTTTATGTGTGTTTTGCCTACATGTATGTCTGTGTACTACATGCATGTCAGATGCCCAGGAGGCCAGTACAGGGTGTCAGTTCCCAGGAACTGGAGTTACAAATGCTTGTGGTCTGCATGATGTGCGTGCTGGGAGCTGAACTTGGGTCCTCTGTAAGAGCAACAAGTACTCTTAACTGCTGGGCCATCTCTCTAGCACCTAACATGCTAGGTTTATAAATCAAAACCAAATAGCCCAAGGCCACTTTAGTAGAAGATGTTTCTATAGACTCTGGCAGTGGACTTGAGGGGTTTTCCAGTTTGGTTGATTTTTATCATTAGAAGCCAGAAAATTAACTAGCTAAGGTGAAACACAAGAGAAAACATGTTCTTCCACTCAGAGGCCATCTGTTTAGTAAAACAGCTGCTTACCATAGACTGCAGGCGCTGGGCAAGCTGGTAGGCTGCTTCGGCATCTGTCCTGTCACTCACTCGTACCCTATCGACCGGCTGTGGCCTGTTATATATTGCCTGCTCTGTTGGAATTCAGGAAAGATAGAACAATCTATTATTCTGTGAAATCGGTTAAAACAAGAAGATATACTATACTGACTACAGCTGAGCTCCACGGTTCTTATCCCACAATCAGACATTTCACGTGCCACTTAGTTCTCAAGCGAATAATGCTGTTAATGCAGCTCAATAAAAGCCATTATAAAGAAATAAGTAACTCGTATAACTTCTGGTTACATGAGTGCTGAGCCCACTTTGCCGACTGTGGCTTAGTACAGAAAACATGTCATCTCTGTGGCTGTGGCTACAATAGCTTAGCTTCTCAAATAGTTGGCATCTACACAGAGCCGGGGCACCAATGCCACATATGTGGAAGAGTAACCCTAAGGCAGACTGCCCATTCTCAATACAAAAGTGAAACCGCCTGTCAGAGACTTTCTGCTGAGCTCTCTAGTTCACTTCCAAAACAGGGGTGGTGAGGCCCTGGCTCCTATCACTGCCTGCACCCATCACCATTAGCTTTCTTCAGAGCTCTGTCATATGAAGTCAGTGATAGGGAAGAATTCATTCTGACATATGCATACTCATCAACTTTGAATCAGAAAAATCAAGAGTGAAAGACTTCCATTAATAAAAAAACAAAACAAAACAAAAAAAACTGTGTGCATGTCTAAGTCATAAGACAATTTGTGGGAGTCAGGTCTCTCCTATCAAGCAGATCCCAGTGATCAAACTCAAGTCTCAGGCTTAGGGGCAGATACCACTGAAGCACCTCCCCAGCCTTGTTAAAATACCTTTGTGCTTTTACTGTAACTAAATATACAGGTTCATAAGTTACTGCCTTTATTTAATCACTGCTAGAAAGCATCTCTAGCAGGAATATGGTACAGGGTGAGTAACACTTCATAGTTCAGATTTTGCTGGACCTTAGAATATGTGCAGAAAAATGTTCCCAATATCTAAGCCTTTTAAACAGCCATGACGCTCTCAACCTGTCTTTTTAAAGTAAATAGACTATCCTTAGATTTCTCATAAATTATTCACTTTTACTTGACAAAGAACTCTTTGTTAAATTATCTCTATTATGTAGATAAAGTATTTCTTTAAAATTGTATCTTCAAAGGGAAACAGTTTAATTAGCAGAAATCTGTTTAACATCAAGTCGTAATGATACACTTATTTCATAATGTTACAGTCTTTCTCTGAATTCCAAATACTTAAATCTACTTGAATCTGAACCATTATAAAAATTAATGGGTGCTATAAGGATAAAAAAATGCCAAGTAAAAGATGTTGTTGGGTTTTTATTTTTACCACATCCAAAATTGATTGCTCCTATCAACTCGAGGTATGTATGAATCCGTCCAATACAATTAACATCCCCACAGTTCTTCAGGCCAGGACGTACTGAGGTCTTATTTAAGTATTTCGGTTTGCATATTTCCCTAATTAAGAGATGGAAGTACAATTATTTTGGATGAACAGAAACATTTAAAAAGGGATTTCTGGGGAAAACTTTTAATATATGAAATATCTTAAATTTTTACCTTTGCTTAATGCCTAATTGTGTACAAATAAATACCCAAGTGTCCTTTTGTTCACAAGTTAAATATCTTTAAATGATGCAACAACTTACAAGTACCTGTAAGTGTGACTGTGTTACAAATATTCTCCCCCCAATACCAAGCCCCATAGATCCCAGGTATCCCCCAACCTTGAAATTATCAGCTTATTTTGTACAGAACCAGATTCCCATCTACATCCGTGAATAAAAGAGCACTTTGGGAACTAAGATTTAGTACTAAGACAGTCCCCTAATTTTCCTGCTTTATGGTACTAGTCTCATGCTGCTAGGCAACTGTTCTAACACTGAGATTTACTTTCCGTCCTAAGGCTTTCCCAGCTTTGTCAATGCTGTTAATTATTAACTCTCTCAAAAAGTTTTAAATATTGTATATTCCCTTTTAATTGTAAGCACTTAGTGTCAAAGGAAAACAGATGTAAGTATTCTACGGATTTTCAAAGGGATTAAAAACTACCAATGAAGTTAAAGATTCATATAATAATCATATATTTGCTTAATGTACTATGCTAGAAAACATAATATAAAATTTAACAGGAACAGACAACTTTACAATAGTAGAAATCAATTACTGATTATGCCTGCTGCATTGTTAGGTACACATGCTCAGCCTTCATAATTCTAAGGGAAAGGTTTTACCAATCCCATCTTGGACGGGAGCAAACAAGCTGGCCAGAATAATCACAACACCTACTTACTTGAGGAAGTGATAAGATCAAGATGCAGTGACCCAGGTGCTAAGTGCCAGCACAGACACTACCTGGTCACACTTCATTCTCTAAGTGCTTGTACCCCATGTCCCAGACACTTCTCTAAGAATAAGGGTTTGAGATGAACAATACAAAGTTCCTACTTTCAAAGATCTTAAATTTCAATAATTACTATCAATACACAAAGGAATAATATATATTACATTACTAAATAACAGCACTCCAAAGGAAAAGAAGCCTAAGAGGATGGATACAGGGCAACAAGCAGGCACAGACGATGTTAGCAAGGGTGCTTAGGGAAGGACTCCCTAAACAGATAAAATTTAAGTCTGTATTTCTATGAAGTACATAGAATATGAAAATAATTGTGACAGAGAATATTGTAACATCTACAGAAAAGCTGAATTCCAGTGTTCAATGAAAGAAAAACAAACTATATGAATATGACATGAAAATACGGAAGAATGCAGCTAATCAAAAATGACAGGACCTGAAAACTGGCTTAGTCTACACCTGTCTTCTCTAACCAAAAGGCTCTGCAAGAAACTCAACAGCCTTGCCCATAGCTTAGACAGTAAATGTTTCTGTTCACCAACGACATTCAGTCTTCTTCCTGTAACACTTGAAATGCCTAAGATATAAAACAGGCAGAACTGTCTTCACGCTGCCTGTATTCCTGAGGGATCAGGGTAGAGGACAACTGACAAAACTGTGGCCTTTTCAGGGGCAGTAAGTGCAAGACAAAAATAAATACAGGCTGCTAGAAGAGGGAGGGCACGACCAGAAACCTCCCCTTCCCTGAGCAGACCTAAGGAGTCAAAGGGCAGCACTGTATGCGCTGAAGGAAAGGAAGAAACGGCTGGAGCTACAGCTTTTAAAGACCGCATCAACCCTAGTGCGACCTGGAACCATGTTCTCATCCTCTGTGAACCTCATTTTGCCATCTGTAAAAACTGCCAAGAAAATTAAAGACAGTTTAAATACAAAGCATGGCATGTGGTAGAATAATGGTGTTAACAGCTGGTTACACCTTAATAAAACTTACCCTAAACAAAATCGATCACATCTGCTCTCATGGAAAAGAAAGGATGAGTAGGTCTCTTGATTTTCAGACTTTCTCTTTCCCTTGTTTAAGTATTACCTCTGTTCTGTTTTGTACTTTATGCTTTTCTCTTTAAAAATATTTCTTTTGCTTTTACACTTTTCTATAAGATCATTTAAACAGTGATATCAAATAGGTTTGTGTACTCCTAGGAAACTACTGCCATATAATATACACCACCTGTGTAACATTCTACTAACTTAACATTCAAAATTCAATGTGACAAATAAAATTTGTTTGAAATAACATTAAGTATGTACAAGTCATGACATTTCTGAGGTAGAAACTATTTTGAGGGCCTTCAATTTTGGCTATCTATCCTTTAATTTCCAAAACCCAAACCACGTATGAATAGAGATCTATTGAATGAGCATTTAAAAACTGTCAGCGAGGCAATGTGGAGTGACAGAACGAGTGAGCGGGACGGATACCTTTCCTGGGTCAGTGGCTGGTAGAAAGATCAAAGGCAGGTACCCTAAACCTATCTGAGAACTGTGCTAATCCATTTCCAGCAGCGAAGATGCCACCGCCCACTTCCCAGGCCTGCTGTGAAGACTCATGAGAAGACACACCGCAGCTTTCTGTAAACCACAAAGCACTACGTAAATGTCAACTGTGTCTCTTAAGAACTCCTTGCTCTCATGACATCCTTAGCCAGAAGATGGCTCTTTAGCACGTTCATCAGCGCAAGAACATTTTCTTCATCAGTGCAAAAGCACTTTGTTTAGAATATGGCTCTCTTTAAAAGCCACGTAAGTTAACATAATGTAAGTGAAAGAAGAGCTATTTAATAAGGTCAGTGTTAATCTTCAGTAGCATTTCTACGTTCTAGCAGAAAAGTCATTGCAACAGGATAGGATAACCCTTAATAGAAGAGAAAATAAGGACAACACAGAATCCCCACCCAAAGAATTGGGAAGCGCTCTAAAACATTAATATCAACTCTGGGTGCCTAAAGGAGACTTGATAAGCTACAATTAACAAGTGTAGGTACTTTCAGTGTATTTAGGTTAATAAGGACTGAGGTCTTTTGGTTTAATATATTTCAACATATCAAGTTTTTAGAACATGTGCAATGTAATTCTTACCACTGATCCAAAATGTAGTTTCTAATTTTCAAATAGCGTTCTGGTGTTTTAGTTTGGCGCCCCTCAAAAAACTCAGGAATTGCTTGCTTTTCTTCTTCTTGAATGACATTTCTATCGATTTCCACTTCTTGCTCTGGTGGCTTAAGCTCTTCTACCTCATGGCTGTCCTCCACCTGCTGACTCTCACAGGACTCTGGAGAGGGTGAGGGCTTGGCTTCGCCTGTTACTTCTTCCCCATCTTGCACATCGTAGCCTTGAGTCAGTCTGTTGTTCTTCTCACTTAATTCGACTGAGTTTTCGCTATTACTGGTCTGTCTTGTAGCCCACGATGTAATTTCTGAGCTTGAAAAGGCTTCTGCTTCACTTGGCTTCACATTCTGAAGATACTCCCGGGAAGATTTAGCTAAGGGGCCTTCTGAGCATATGAATTCTCCATGGTTGGCTTCACAAATTTTACTATTAGGAATGTCTAAAGTAATATGGCTGCCAGAATTCTTTTCTGGTGTCTGAGAAGTCAGCTCATCCAGTTCGTCTGTGATGTCTACGTCTTCATCATCAGATAATTTTTCAATTTTTACAGCATTCAAGTTAGGATCGGCACGCCCCCGCAAGCAGGATGCTGCCCGCACCTTCGTCCTCTCCTCTTTAGATTTCCCCTGGAGATCACTGCTGCTCCTCTGAGCTGGTGTCTCTTTCTCCACACCCCACTTTACCTTATTAAGAATCAAAATAGCATCCACAGAATATTAAGATTTGAAGTTTAATCACCTTACACAAAAAAATTAGGTAACATTTTTTTTTCAACTAAGTGTATGTTAACAGCCATCGTATCTTCACTTGCTTTTTAAAAATATTATACTTCTATCTAGTGAGAAGAGCCATTCTGAAGCTGTGGAGCTTCACGAAGGATTTTACACTTTCACTAACGAATGCATTTTTGTGCACCTATCACCACCAAAAAGGAAACCTCCTTGACAAAGTAAGAACACGAAGAACAATTTGTTTTTTTGTTTGTTTTGGTGTTTTAAGACAAGGTTTCTCTGTAAAGCCCTGCTGTCCAGGAACTCAATCCAGGCTGGCCTCAAACTCAGAACTCAGAGAACTCAAAAGATCTGCCTGCCTTTGGCTCCTGAGTGTTGGGATTGAAAGTGTATGCCACCACCGCCTAGCAGCAATTGGCAGTTAATTTTATATCCTCTTTCATACCGCATGTCCATCACCTGCACTCGGTCTGATCTCATCCCTAGTGGTTGGCCTTTCTTGTGTCCTTTTCTATTATACTTCATCCATGCATACGATTTCTGACAAGATCTTACACATGAGAGAGAACACATTTTTTTGGTGTTTCTGAGATAGCGTGATTTTGCTTAATATTATATATCTATCATCTTCCTATGAATTTTGTAATTTCACTTATCTTTAAACCTGGATAGTATTCTCTCTCTCACAGTATATTCTCTCTCTCTCTTTCTCTCTCTCTCTCTACACACACACAAACACACACACACACCAAAGATTTACTATCCAGTCATCTGGTGGTAGACAACTAAGCTGAATCCAATTTTTTTCTTTGCTATACTGAATAAAGCACACCTAGTATTTACGTTATTACATTAGAAAAAAAAATCTCACGTAAGGCACTTCCAAATATTATTATGCTCCTAAATGTCAAATAAACACAGTTAGAAATTCTAAGTATCAAACCAACACAACTAGGGCTAGAGAGCTGGCTCAGCAGTTAAAGACTACGGGCTGCTTTTCTAGAGGACCCAGGACCGGTTTCCAGAACTCACATGGAGGCTCACAGCCATCTGTAACTCCAGTTAGAGGATCTAATGCCCTACCTCTTCTGGGCTTTGTGGGCACTGTATAGTCTGTCCTGCGCGCGTGCACACACACACACACACACACACACACACACACACACACACACGCGTGCGCGCGCACACACACGAAGGCAAAATGCCCATACATATAAAATAAAAATAAAATATCCTAATTTAAAATATATATATATATATACACAGCTAAATACAGAACAAATTATTTGAAAAATTAAGAACTAGATCATGACTACTTCTTTCTGAAAAAGCTTATTAGATTTTCAGACAGTTCTTGATAATAAAAACTCTTCTGTTTTTAGACAGATTTCATAACCATGTTAGGTAGCATTTATATCCCCTAAACTCTAAAAATTTCCACAAGTTTCTTCTACAGCACAAATATTTCTAAAATAATGTGCATTTCCCAGAGGAAAAGCTGGGCTGCTTCACATTTCCGCTTAGGAACAGTATTTGCTTTGAAGACCGTACGATCAGCGGCTCTCCTGTTTAAGGTCCGCATCCATTCGACAGCAGCCTCAGAACATAAAGAGGGGCCGGAGCCCTGCACCGAGCACCATCAGTGAAGTGTGTGGAGCTTCACTCTGAGTCACCCCTCGTGAGCTGCAGATAGCACACAGCTGCTCCAAAGTGTTTTTAAAAATTAAAAAAAAAAAAAATCAAGCAAGCAAACAAGCAAACCACTGAGCCAGAGAGAGAGGACTTGTGGGTAAGCAAGTTTGACAATTTGAGTTCAATCTCCAATGCCCACATTAAGGAAGAACTTATTCCCACAATGTCCTCTGACCTCCACACTCTTGCCACAGTACACATAAAATAAGCAATTTTTTCAAGAGCCAAAACGCTTACATAAGTATAAACTACATGAGCTATAGAAAGTCCTAACAATAAGACTGCTTAGCTGGAGCTGATGATGCATGCCTACACCCTCAGCATTCAGGATGACTGTCATACTGTTCTAGGCCAGCTGTGGCTATATAGTAAGATCCCGTCTCAAAAACAACAACAAAAAACAAACACCCCCCAAAACCAAAACCAAAACAATCCAGACTATACTTACTGCCTGTATTGAGTATCTGTGCTTCCTAACTTTATCCCAAATGTTATTCTCATTCAGGATATCTGCACCCCGCTTACCTGATTTTTAAAGTACTGTCTGGCGTAAGTCTTCACTTGTAAAACTGTGCGACTCTGAACTAGTGTTGCAATTTTGGTCCACCTTCGGCCAAATTTAGCCTGTTATCAAAATGGAAACAATTTGCTTTGGAGTACCTTATTTAGCAATATTTCAAACAGTTACCACAAAATGAAACCCAATCTATTAGACTATGCCCTTAAAAATCAAAGCCCATATTTTTTTGACTCTAGAACTCTGAAAACTAAACAAAATGACTTATAATAGCCCAGAAGGGAGGTAGGAGACATTTAACTTTTTCTTGAAGAATCAACTGGACACATTTCACATTAATTGCACTTTAAACTCAGACTTTATATTCTACAATACCTTTTAAGTATCCTAGAGCAAACACTCTATACTGGGTAGGTATACAGTGAAATGAGGGTACACAAGCAATGACTTTCATGGTTCAATGACATATGAAGTAGACCCACACCAATGCTCCCTTCTGTGGCCAAAGACTGTGCCACACCGATGTGGGATTCCCCTCTGTATGCTGTGAATATCACTGGGCAATAAAGAAACTGTCTTGGCTTGTGATAGAGCAAAAGAGTAGAGCTAGGTGGGGAAAACTAAACTGAGTGCTGGGAGAAAGAAGGCGGAGTCAGAAAGACGCCACGTAGCCACTGCCAGAAACAGATGAGCCAGAACCTTGCAGGTAAGCCACAGCTACTTGGTGATACACAGATTAATAGAAATGGGTTAAATTAAGATGTAAGAGCTAGCCAGTAAGAAACTAGAGCTAATAGGCCAAGCAGTGATTTAACTGATATAGTTTCTGAGTAATTATTTCGGGGCTGAGCAGCCAGGAACAAACAGGCGGCCTCTTACAATACCACACCCTGGGCATTCCCGTGGAGATTTCATATCCAAAAGAGAAAATACACAATTCTAGATATACGATGGATATTTAGACACCAAGTCTAAACCTTAATTAGCATGAAAATCTTCACAACACAAGATGATATTCCTACAGTAGATCAACAGCACACCACCTACTTTTTTAGAATTCTTAAAGCCATGAAAAAATGAAACAAACAAACAAAAACAAAAAAAAAATAAAATGTAACCCAGAAAAACCTCCCAGACTCAGATCTACAGACCAAGTAGTCATACCTTTAAAGTAAATACTTCAAAGTCATACTTTAAAGTAAAATATCTTTAAAGATCTGACCCAAATGATAAAGCTTCACTTACATGCTATTTCTGTCATTCACATAGGTGATACATTAAAACTCAAAGTACTTCTGGGAAAATTTAAGAGTAACACCTAGCTAGTATTAACTCAGTGAAGAAACAATTCTTTTTTCTGTAGAGTGAAGGTCAATGATTTGTTACCATGAAATTCATTTAGAGACAGTAGGGACCTGGATAAATTGAGATCTTTTGGAATGAAAGGATTTGAACACTAAGAAAATGAAAGGTGCCACTAGCAAGAGGAGCACAGAAATATCCACCAGTTTCAAAGTGCAGTGAAGATATAGCCCCATGCTAAAGAAACAGACGGAATAAAACCTTCCTTCTCCCTCCCAAGCCTGAGAGAAACTCTATCAATGGATAAAAGTGGGCAACACAGTAAAACAATGGCCCAATAAACCAGAGCATTTTCTTCTGTAGAAAAACATTCTGTTTAAAATACCTTACTGTGTACAAATTTCTATGCACCTATATAAGTAAATTCTCATCTGCTTATATACGAACCAAATGACCCTAGAAGCATATACAAAGAAGAACTAATCGATTACCTCAGAAACAAGAATGAGGTTTATTACCCATTAACTTTAGGTAAGTGTGAGTTCTGAACACACAAATGGGTCCCCATAACCATCACTAATGCCAACAATAAGAACAAAAGAAGAATCTTAAGTTCACAAACCACTTTTAAACATGAGTATATGCATATTTAGTCTTTGATAAGATGAAAATATTGAATCATTAAAGCAAAAATTAATTTTTGTTAATTTAATTTTCATACAACAGGAAAAAAGTAAACATAACTACCATCAGTATAGAAAAAAACAAGAAAAAAGACCTCCAGATAGTTTATGCATTTATATTCAAACAACCTAATACATAGCTCTCATGCTACTGACTAGAAAAAATAAACATATTTTACTTCTCATGATTTGTATGTTAATAATTCAATTTTATTCAAATGTTCTATGAACATTATACACTACCTATAAAATGTATATACAATCTCAAAATTAAATTTAGTATAATTCTAAGTTACATGTACCCTAGAAAATATACAACCTACTTTTGATTGTTTAAAAATTAATGGTCATTTTATTAAACATTTCTCCATGTTATATTTTCAGTATTTGAATCACATACATGTATTTAATACTTCAGAACGTCTAAGAGATTTCAGTGAAAACAGTCATACAAAAGGTATATATATATGTACTGAAAAATCTGGATTATGTACAATGCTAGATAGTTGAATATAAAATAAAGAATTAAGCTTATGTCCTATTCAAAGTTGTGGGGTTTTTTGCTTCTAGAATAATTTTACTGTAAGTTAAAACTTTCTCTACTTACCAGTCCTTGTTCAAATAGTTCTTTTTCTTCTATTGTCCACTTGACTGAACAACTGGCTGGTTTTGTAGGAGAATGTACCCTGAAGGTAAAAAAAAATCTGAAATGAAACATTCCATATTTATGCAGTTAAAGGTTATAGACCAGTAGTTCTCAATTTTCCTAATGCTGTGACCTCTTAACGCAGTTCCTCATGCTGTGGTGACCCCCAACCATAAAATTATTTTCACTGCTACTTCATGACAGTAATTCTGCTACTGTTATGAATCCTAACAGTATGTGTGTTTCCTGATGGTGGTAGTGACCCCTGTGAAAGGGTTGTTGAAACCTCCAATGGGCTGCAGCCGGTTGAGAGCCACTGGTATAGACAGTCACCAGGCTAAAACAAAGACTGCTAGTCTACTGAAAAGGGGGGAGGGGAAGGAGGCAGCTGCTGCAGCTGGTACCTGGGCAATAAGGTTTACCTGTTCCTTATCTCTACCAGAATGAAAGAGCATGATGGGAAACAAACAAACACCCACACAGCTCCACATAATATAACCCTTGGGTCTGAGTGAGGACAACACTACAGACAGCAAAGGAAGTCTCTCTGGTACAAGGAGACCGCCTCAGACTGAAAACAAAGAGCAGCCATTAATATAATCCCAAAGCCTAAGAATTTAAATCATAAAACTATGGCATCACATTTATTGCTTTTAAATTCTGTATCACAAGAAATAAAGCAGACTAAGGAAACTCTCTAGTTTCATCAAGCACCCAGTCTTCCCACAGACTTCACTTTGTATAGCAAAACAGAGAAGCCAAAGCCTGCTCATGCTCAAACCTGAGTTTATAAATGCTAAATAATGACCATTCTTTTCCAATTAAAAAGAAAGGATATTTGTAAAATCTTTAATTTTTCTAGAATTTTTTTGAGACAGGGTGCTGCTGTATACTCATGGTTGGCCTAGAACTCACTACCTAGAGCAAGCTGGTCTTGAACTTGTGGAAATCCTGATTCTGCCTTCCAACTACTGGGATTACAGGCATGCACCACTATGCCCAGCCCAATTTTGGTAGGTAAATTTTAGAAGCCACAGATCCAAATGAAATTGTACATAATGATTTTTGAACTATCAAACAGAAAAGAAATATAATTAATCCATATATATATTCACTTTGTGATAAACTGCCGACAGAAAGACACCTCTGGTCTCCGGGGGCACTTGCACTCACGCGTGCGCATGTGTACACATACACACAGAAACACAAGTGAGCACACATAATTTTAAAAGTAAAAAGGATTTTTATTTTTTTAAAAAAAAAGGTTTTTAAAATAAAAATAGGTACATACGTGAGTTTTGCTGTTTTCTGCAGACTGCACATGAAAAAAGAAAACAGAAAGCTTGTGAAGAAGTTCCTAAATCTGTAATTCAAAACTTTTTAATAGTAACATAACTGACTTTACCTGTTGGTGTGCTTTTTATCATCTTCCTTTTGATTAATCCAGAATTTTCCTGGGAGTGATTTATTAGACAAATAATACCTATGTAGACTTTAAGGAAAATTAAGCAATATTAAAGTCATATAATTCTTATGTACTATCAAGTAGGCTGACTGGTGAAGACATTTAAATCTAATCTTCTTTTCTAAAATATAAATAGTAAAATAGATGAATTTTTTTGTAGGGTAATTTGGGAACCACTGTTTTCATAGTTTTAAAAGTCACAGCAAAGAGTTCAGGATTCTTCTCTACACTAATATAAAGAAATACCCTTCAGCATTGCTGGGACTAGCCTTCTACAGAACTGTTCCCTAAGACTGAACTTTAACAAATATCAACCACACGTCACACGTTAGGCTACGTACTGGAGACAAATATATACACATAATAGAGGTTCTCTTATCCTCTAAAATATATGTAGTGTCTAAGAGCTTATGTTAACTCTTACTCTACTTGCTTTTACATCTGGAAGGGAAAAGTGACTACTTGAGTGTTCAATAACCTGGAATTGCAGTGTTCAGTATGGTGGCCACTAGGCAGAAGATGCACTCAAGCCTCTGGAACACAACTAGCGTTAACTGAGATGCAGCGCTAAAATAAAATGTACTGTGAATTCCAAAGACTTAGCATGAAACACTAATGATGTTTTCATTTGGGGCTAGAGACATGGTTCAATTAATGCTTGCTATACAATCGTTAAGAATCTAATTAGGATCCAAGTAAAAAGCTAGGTGCAGTGGTTTTGTGCACATATAACCCCAGCACTAGGGGGCAGACACAGGTGGATCCCTAGAGCTTTTGACTAGCTAGCCAGTCAAATCAGTGAGCTTCTAGGTCATAGGAATCCTTGCCTTGAAAAATCATTTGAAGAGGGAATAAAAAAAAGACCTCAAGTCAACCTCTGGACTCTACACACATGTATATAATATCACACACACAAAAAAACAATGTATTCATATAAGCTGAGAGTTTAAGTATGTTGTAAAAAGTTATGATATAAAAATTCATTTATTTTATTTTAAATGAGGCTACTATGAAATTGGAGATTAAATGTGCCTCTCATTAAAAAAAAATAGTCTAGGCAATATTTGGGAAGAGTTACAGGGTAAGGGGCTAACCAATGGCAATTAAAGATATAATTCTTAAATTAACAGAAGCAGTTGGGAATAAAATAACAGAAGTTCTGGATTAAATAGTGGACAGAGAGGGCTAGAGGGACGGTTCAACAATTAAAGAGCACTAACTGCTCTTCCAGAAGACCTAAGTTAGAGTCCAGCATCCCCATGGCAGCTCTCAACTGTCTGTAACTCCAGTTCCAGAAGATCTGACAACCTTATGGTCTCTACAGGCACCAGGAACACAAGAGGTTCACAGACATACATGCAAACAAAAATACACACGTAAATAATGATAATAATAACAACAGTAGTGGACAGATGTCCATAAAAAGCATATGAAAAAGTTTTTAAAAAGCCACTATTTGTTAGTAATCTTTAAAATCAGAAATTACTGATTTACTGAAATTATTGATATCCTCTCATTTGACATAAAAAACTTAGTCTCGAAGTTAAACTGAAACCAATCAGAATAATCAGTCAGTGGCTAAGTCACAGAGAAGGACTTAACCCCCCCAAGGGAGGTAGGCAGAAATTAATTTATTTTGTTTCTCATTTAAAATTCCTCTCATATAACATCTGTAAACTGCAGAGTATAATGTGAAAAGGTCCACATGTTCTAAATGTATGCCTTGTACAGGTAAGAATTTCTGAGTTTTAGCTTTTATAACTTTGAAAATGGAAGCTTGGAATTAGAGCTCTGACTTAAATATTTACCATTTCTATGCAGTATGTACACTCTGCATGCTGGCATGGCTGACAAAAACATTGTGTCAGTCTCGGATGCAGCTGTAAAAGATGCTACATTGTGACATAAAATTACACAATCGAATTGCTAAACAGTCATCTAGCAATTACAGTGTCCTCTTCTATAATGTTTGCACTGATTCAATTTTTAACCCTGAAACCTTTACTCTTCTCATAATCGATGAAGGATACTCTTCTTCCAACAGCATTTTCTCAATGACAGCTCTGTTCTCGTCACTGATGGTGCTATCCAGAGTCCAAGGCTATTTAAAACAATGAAGAGAATATTTCATTACCTAAACAGCTATCTTACTTCATTGAGTGAAATACATGACATAAACAATACCAGCTACAACTCACGAATAAGCACACAGGCACACTTTGATTTTCACAATCACCCCGAGGCAGTACAAACAGTTCACAGATGCATCTGCAGCACTGGAGGCATTTTGAGTGGAAGAGAGGAAACCTCACACTAAAGCCTGCTGGATTCCAAGGCTCACGCCCCTTTAACTGGAAGCAGTAATAATGGCTGCTATATACAAAAGAACTCTTAGGCTTCAGGCATTTTGTGGACTACTTAACCTGTTTCCAAAACTCAATTCTGTTTTTCCTCAGTCATACCCTAAGTAAATGATTATACTCATTTCAAGTCTCAAGGCTACAAAATTTCGACTCCTATCTCTTCTTTAAACTCCAGACTGTTCTAGTCACTATCCCACACGAGACCGTTTGAATGTCTAACTGGCTTTTCAAATGAAACATATTCAAAACAGAATTCAGTGTCACCTGTCTCCACCTGCCTTTCCAACTTTGCCAAGAGCACTGTTAACCACTTAAACAGCCAGGAATCACTATGGATTCTTTAGTTTCTCTTCCATCTCCATACGCATTATTCTGCCAGACAGCTCTACCTTTAAAATCTAATTCAAATTGGTTCAATTTCACCTCTGCTGGAACACACAGGACCAAGTCACTATCTAAAACCTTGCTCGGATTATTGCAAATGGTTCCTAGCCAGTCCCTCTGTTTCGGCTCTTGTTTCCCCCACTCTTCTTCACCCAAAGCATATTTGACAAAAAAAAGAATCCAGTAGTGTGTACTGAAAACTATAGAAATACTTCAATGACGTCACAGTTAGACAAAACTGACACCCATGAGCATAAGCCAGCGCTCCCACACTCGCTACTCCTTCTGCCGAGCATGTCAGTTTTGTGACTCTCCGTTTGTCCGGTCACTTTCCCCACTACAGTCCAACTTAAATGTCACCGTCCCAGCGTTCTTTATTGACTTTTCCTCAAGTATCCCCCATTCTACTAACGTCAGTCAACATTGCTCATTCCTTTCATAATCTACAAATGGGTTGTCTGCCTATTTACTGCCAGGATCCTGTTTTGTCTATAGATTCCATGAGAGCAAAGTCACATCTACCTTGAAGAGCTTTGGCCTGCCCTACTGTCTAGCATGGCGAGTATGCAGTTGCTGCTAACTGAAGCCATGACCCTGTGGTTATGCCCATCTCTCCCCTGCAGAAACCAACGCTGACAAGTATGAGGCATGTGATAAAGATTTATACCTAATCAATTTGATCTGAACATATTTCTCAAGAGATCGGTTTTTCCATAGTTGAAAAAAAAAGGGTTTTCGATTTTTAAAGGAAGTGTTTCCATATACTTCCTATGGGATTGTGGAGAATTAGGACTCAGGAAAGGAAAAGGGGCACTCTGGGCAATAAGTGCGGTGTCGAGTCACCCGACTTAGCATACTTACAAGACAGCCATTCTCCCTTCCCCATGTTGAATCAAGATAGTGATCTTGAAAGACTGATGCTGTGTTTTCATCATTTCTGTAATAAATATAAAAATCAATAGAAGAGTGATATTACATCCATTTACAACTATAACTCACACAGGATAGGGGCTGGCCAATTGCTGATGCTAAGCAAACACCTTCCCCTCCTTACCAAAGACTGAACACTACAACAGTACCTGCTCTACCTTGTAAACCTGGGAGGGGAAGCTATAATGCAAGCACAAGAGTCACTACGCGCTGAGGCCAAGAGACAAGTGTACACACGCACGCAACTCTACAGCTACATCTGTTACAACTATCAAAACCACAACCTGACCACCCTCAAAATGAAAACAAACAAAACTAGATGTAAGAACTAAAATAAAAAGTACTGAAGGAAGTTAGTAACAATTTAATTTAAAAGTAATTTGATTTAGAGGATTTCTGTATCCACGAGAGATCAAAGTTTGATTGATTCTGTCATTTTTTTCACTGAAATAAGTACAATATGTGTTTCACTTGCAAGAAGACGGAACAATCGGGTTTGGAGGGTCTCAAGGTATGACGTAATCAACTTCAAACGCACAACAGGCAATCATTAAATTTATGTTTCCTAGTGAAATTATTGACTTTTTCCTGATCTAACCTAGTGATAAGACACTCTATGAACTGAAAGCAAATTCTCTCAACTACTGACACAAACAGCTCTAAACCCAGGTCAACTGTGATTCCAAAGAGACTAATAAAGGTTTCTATGGCTGTGTCAGTTTGCACAACTAAGTTTGCCAAGAGTGCAAGAGATGGGCCTATGATTTCCAATTCACTGCAGAAATCTTTTCATATAGTATACTACAGTGAGGATTAGCCACATTCACACGCTGATGTATGCATCTGATTGCCTATCTGAATCTCCTTTACATGATTCAGCTTAAAATAATCTTTCTTCTCACATCTGCCAGGCTTCATTTTCCTCTTTGCCCCTGAAACTCCAATCTCTCTAGTGGTCCAAATGATCCAATTCAACCTGCCCCTTTCTGTCATTGTTTCCACTCTCTGTTCTAAGGGCCCATTGGTTTCACTCCTCGAGACCCTTACTGGGTCAGTGCATGAGAATAAAACTGGCAAGCCAACCAATCATCTTCCTTCACCCTTGCCCATTTACCTCTATCAAACACACACATAAGGTTTGCTATCTGTTCCACCCAACAAGAATGAATAACTTTATGACAGCAGGGATTTCCTTTTCACATTGCTATATATGCTCAGGGAATGACATACAGAATATAATCAGCAACTGAATGAATAAGTAAACAAGGCAGTTGGGTGGGTAATGGACCAGAGGATCTGTAACAGTTAAGGAATAAATACTTTACCACAAAACTATTCAGGCATGGTGATAGATAGTTAATTGTAATTCCAGAATTTAGGAGGTAGAGGAAGGAGGATTAGGAGTCTAATACATAGCAAGGCCAGCCTGAGCTATACAAGAACCTGTCTCAAACAAAACAAAATGACATAATAAAACAAACAACAACAACAAAAAACTTTACTTTAAAACAACTGGAAATTGAAGGTAATAATCAGATTTGGATGTGAAAAAGATTTATCTTTAGAGGGGAGAAGGGACTAAGAAAAACAGTGGTAGAGGAAATAATTATAAAAATACTAGAGAAACACAGCACTAACTTGTATCTTCAGAAAAAGCAGTATGAGCAAGAAGTGTCATTTGAGAGAATCCTTACTACCAATGGGCCTTTAAAACTTGACCAAATGAGGGAGTAGAAAAATACGGCAAAAGGAAAAGGGAGGGAGTACAGGTCCGAACCCTGGGACTGGCTGAATGCTGCTGTCATGTACGCAACAGGGACAGCTAGGATGGGTCTGGAAGGGGGAGCTGCTGAGGTACCGCAAGTGAGAGTGACAAGAGTCCTGATCTGGAGCTCACAGGGAGGTGGGTCAATGAAAGACTGGGGAAGGCAAATATCGGTGGAACTTAAAGAACTGTATCAGAATGGCAGGGCAGCAAAACAACCTCACAGAAATTAAGTCAGGAGAGATGCCAGTCTTGGAGATATCACTAGGTATGGCAGCGAGTACAAGACTTACAAAAACACCTTTCACCAACAAAGTCTTTAAAAGCATACAGAAAAGGAAGATGAGAAGAAATAATAGCTGAAGGAAAACCAGAATGCAGTGTTCCATTTTTGCACCTAGCTTTCAGCATGTGCTTAAAAGCAATATGTTTCAAATTAATCCTCATGAGTGCCTTAAACGCTACTGTTCTCTGTAACAGCACACTTCAAGGACACCAGTCATGCTCAATTCAAGATGATTCTAACTCCAGCATGACAGGGCACCATTCCACAGGTAATAGCATCAAGGGCGCTCTTTAAGCAGAGGCTGGCATCAGGAACCTTCATAATCCTGCTTGCATGATCAATGAGGGAAAATAAACAAAAAAGGAAGAACAAAACTGTTCCTAGGTAGGGTGGAGGAGAAAGTCTACTGTAGATAAAAGGGAGAGTATGGGCAGAGGCAGGGACATCTGTGAGAGTCCAGAGTGGACATGACCCCGAGGAGAGCCATGGAAGGAGAGGAAGGGGAGAAGGGAGACGAGCCACTGACCAAGAGGGGTGGCCTGGACCAAGAGACTGACCAAGAAGAGTTAAGGCTAGACCAAAAGGGCCAGTTGACCAAAATGGCTGGATTACATAGGGAAAGGTATTTGGGGGTCAGGGAAGTTCAGGCCCAGGGCTGGAGAAATTTAGGGTATGGCGCAGGGTATGCCAGCCATGCCCATACCCTGTAACAGGTAAGGACTTAGGGATGCTGGGAGGATCTATGTTAAAGGGGCACCTCAGTCATTTGTCCTGGGTTTGAGTCCTAACACATAAGCTTAACATTACAAATGCCACCAATAGACCCTTGCCAAGAAAACGGGACGAGAAAAAGGGAGACAAAAGAAGCACAACCAGAATAGTTAAGATAAACCTATGTAAAAAGGCATAGAGCCAACGCTCTTAGGTAATGCTGATTGAACCAGAGACGAATTCACTCCTTCGTGAATTTCAAACAACTGTCCCTGCCCACTTAGCTCACTGTCTTAGAAAAATTAAAAACCACAAACTCACAAGCACTTGTTTAAGACTGAATGATTACACCAGCGTGGAAGAACTGTTGTTATCTCTGGCTCCCCGCAAGAGCTCCAGAGAAAAATAATCATATGAACTTAACTACCCCTCACGTTATTATCATGCTTTAAGAGTTCACAGAACATGTGTAAATGCTCCTTATTTTGGGAACTCACAGGGAAAGCTGGTACTCTATACAATCGAGCAGCTCTCCAGTCAGATGGATTATACCAGAATGCCACTATATAGGCCAAAACCAGACCAAAATTAGTAAAAGCATATAGTTCAAAAGAGTTCGAACAAAGTTGCTGACAAGTTACGAATAATGTAATTGGCTGCATTTACAACTCAGGTCTTCTGGCTTCTACCTCCCATTCTGGTTCCCGTTACTTAAAAGGAGGGATAATCCTTACTTCTAAAGCAAGGTGTCAAAGCAGGTTCAGTTTAAAACCACAATGCCCGTCCTGCAGGCACCGGTGTTTAACAACATCCCTCACTGGCTCTTCACTATATTATCTCTAAGACAGTAAGAAACTCTGTAGGGCATCTTAAGTATGCTAAAGCATACTTCTCAATTATTTCATCGATGCTCAAACAGTATGATTGCCACGAGATTCTTGGTTTTCAAGCAAGAGAGCAGAGGCTCAAATGCCTTGACCCGGGTCACAGTGACAGTAAACAGGAAGAGCGACTGCAGAAGGAAAACAAGAACTGTCCAACTATAAAATCTGGACTCCCTTGAAAACTGCCTTTCCGCAAGTTTTCACAACTTTCTCTGAGAAGAAGAAATCAAACGACTTGACCAAGGTCGCTTGTTGACGCAGAACTAAGTGCCTATGAAGTCAGGTCCTGTGGACCAGACGCCCGTGTTCAAGCCGCTGTGAGGGGCCCGAGACAAAGTGAATGCAGGAAGGAATCCGAACTGGAACACGTCCACTGCATTCCGGGAAGCAGCTAAAAACAGTCGGGTCGGGGCGCTCAGTCCACGCCCCGATCCGCAGACCCAGCCGACTTCCGGTCAGGAGTAGCCCGACGCCGTCCACGCAGACCCTGCGATCGCAACGTCCGGCCCTCGCCTAGCACCGCCCGGCCCGCAGGACCCCGCTCAGCGCCTCACCCCGGCTGTGCAGCCGCCTGCACATCTCCTTCCACATCCACATCTGCCTCCTCCGCCTCCATGACTGCACCTGACCCGGCCGTACTCACGAGATCCCGCGAGATGCAGCGGGCCGGGGGCGGGGCCCTTAGTGTTGCGCGCGCCGCTGGGGAGGCGGGGCTTCCGGGGAAAAGAGGCTGGCAGGGGAGACCCAAGAGATTCGCTGTGAAATCCTCGGCCACCCTCACACCCTTCTACGCTGTGTGCGTCCAGTTCCCAGGACACTGGGGTGTCTCACTTCTCTCACGTGTTACATGGGATTACTCTCGGCAGGTCTCTTTCCATTCGGACTAGAGACCTTGTTTGGTGAACTGTGCGTGTGACAGCCATTACCTCTGGTTCTGTCTGTTTACACACACACACACACACACACACACACACACACACACACACACACATTCGGGCTAGAGACCCTGCTTTGTGAACTGTGCGTGTGTCTCTGGTTCTGTCTGTTTACACAGACAAAGACAGACAGACAGACAGACTGGTTCTGTCTACACAAAGACAGACAGACACGCACAAACACACACACACACACACACACCACATGCTTACCCATATGCTCTTGCCCACCACAGTGAATTCTTAGAATGACCCAGTGGAATAGGTGCAGGTTTCATGGATTTTTGTGTCACGGATAAGGAAACAGGCTCAGAACGTTGATATGATCGTCCAAGCATAGCTCTAGGGAGACTGGCTTTTTAAAAATCTGCCCTAAGTGCTTACTATATAAAAATCATTGCTGGGAATCTGTGAATCAAAGAACTTAACGGTTTTCCAAGAAATTAGATCCCACCTCTATGCATTTCTCTGCCTTAGAATCTGTCTTTCATATAGTTAATACTTTCTGGCTTAGTCTTCTCCCCTAATGAAGTGTGACTTCCTTAAGGACAAAGTCTGTCTGGTGGCCCTCACACTGTCAGCATTCAGCCTGGTGTCTCACACATAGTAGGAGCTCAGGAAATGTTGAAGGAACTGGTAAAGTAGACCTATTTCACAGCTCCGTTTGAGAGCGTGATAGCAAGAGATAGAGAAGGGAATGTGTAAACTGAGTGCCCAGTGCTCAGGAGCGGAACAGTGTTTAACCTCAGGACAACCTGCAGCTATATTTTTTTTGGAGTTTTGTTTTGTTTCTTTGCTTGTTATCAAAGGATTTATCCAGTAATCAATGCTAATGGCTCACCTTACACAGACTAGGCATTTAGGGATGTCTTTTGAATTTAATTTGAGAAATTCAAAGTAAAGATACTAGTCTCTAACTCAAGTTAAAAATAGCCAAAAAAAAAAAAATTAGAAGAACCACTGCAGAGCCTGCTACTCGGGCCAGGCCAGCAATGGTGCCTGTTTCCACCACACAGTGGGAGGGGCTGAGGAAGCCTTGACTGTATGTGTATCGAGTGATTAAAATCCCAGATGAATGTGTATTGCTATGTGTACAGCCATATCAAGTATCCAGTGCCTCAGACCCATGGGGCAGCCATTCCAGTAGGGGTCAGGTTCAGAATGGCAAAGCCTTTCTGTGGTTCAAGTATGAACGTTTATAAACAGTTGACCACAGTGTGCAAAAACTAGCAACTGCAGCTTCTTCCTCCTGGTGTTTACAGCCTGAGACTTCGTCTCTGCAGAGAGCTCCCAGTGACTAGCTTACTCCTCCTGTGCTGTACATAATAATTGTGCTGAGGTTCTGTACCGTGGATTCTGTACTGTGGGTGTGGCTGGTGCCACTCTATCAGAGTGCGCTCAGCCCACCTGACCCCGGCTTTTTTGTGTATATGTCTGTTATTTCTTTAGTTCCTGTGATAAGGGAATGAAGCTAGAACCACACACACTTGCAAGATAGCAGCAGAGACTAGAGATCCTCAAATTTCATTGGGTAGACAATATGAAAGATGTGGCCTAGGCCGTAAAGCACAGTAGCTGTGGGCAGATAGGCCATTGCTTTGACACTGCCCAGCAGACAAACACAAAACCTGAAAGGATACACTGTTTCCAGGTAGCTTAACTGCATTATCTCTTTCAAGCACTGTGTAGAATTAAAAGAATAAAAAGTATTTAGCCAATAGCAAGGTAAAGTTACAATGTCTGCATCCGATAGCTAGACATTCAAGGAAGCAAGAAAATAAAGCCATAGAAAGGAAACTGTGATCTATTGGAATCCTTTTGGTTCCAACACAGATGTTAGAGTTGCTATGCTTAGGCCATTTCCATGGGAGAGTTTCTATGCTAGAACTGACATGTGAGAGTCCCTGAGCTAAATCACTAATCAGTGATTATAATTCTGCTCTCTGTGTTTAAAAAGTTAATAGAGATATGGGAAGCTGCTGGGAGCTGCAGACCCTTAGACCCTGAACTTTCTATGACCCCTTGCCTGATGGAATAAACTACTTGTTTTTCTATGCTAGTAGCTGCTCTGAGCATGGGTCCCTCATGAGTTTCTGATAACAAGGAAGTAGTTTCTGGTGGGCTTGCAGTAGAAAAATCCTGAGAGCTAGGCTACGACCACTAGTTAAGGAGAGCCCTATATAAGTTGCCTTGGAACATAATAAAATTGGCATTCTTGCCTCAAGAGTGACCATGTCTCTGTGTGTTCTTTACTCCCAGACCCTTGCCCAACCATGGTTCCAGGTGGTGCAAGCATCACAGGAAATATAAAAAGAATGACACTGAATCTTTCTTTGTAAATGGAAGTTTTATTTTCAGAGATGAAGAACACACTTGGTAGTACTAATGAAAGAGTGGATATTCCTGAAGAAAGAATCAGTGAACCTGATATAACAAAATAAGTCATCCAAGTGAAATGCACAGAATGACAGAAATTGGTAGATAAAAGTGGCAAAGAATCACTGAGTTATTCAATGAGAACTTTGAGCACCCCACTATATCTGTAATTTGAATCCCTGGAAAACAGGCCAGTAAAACATTTAAGAAAATAATGCCTAAAGATGTTTCCTATTTTGAGGAAAATAATAAATCAATAGATTCAAGGAACTCCACAAACAAGTTATATTGTGCTATCATGAAGGTGAGTTATTCCAAACCAGCAGACAAAGACTTTCCTTTGACAGTAAATTTCGTTTTGAGAAAAATGGAATCCAGAAAGTTGCAAAACAATACGTCTAAAGTATAAGGAGGAAAACAATTAGTCCACTTAAAGCTCTCTTTATTGTAAACAAACCTTCTAAAAATGATAACTTGACTTTGTTTTTGTTTGTTTTGAGACAGGGCTTGTTATGTAGCTGAGACTTGCCACGAGCTCAAGATTCTCTTGCCTCCATCACCAGAGTGCTGGAATTAGAGGCAAACACTGCTGTCCCCAACAAAAATTTTAGAAGACATACAAAGTATGAGAGATCAAAAATTATTGACCAACATCCCTCAAGAAGAAGGGAGCATATATACATGCTTGTACCTTTGTGTCAGCATAAATGTATGCAGTTTATAGTGAACAAAGCTGAATGTCAAATATTTTTCTCTATCATTTTATACCTTTTTTGATACAGAATCTCTCATTAAACCTGGAGCTCACCCATTCAGCAACACTAGTCGGCCAGCAAGTTCCTGTCTCTGTTTCTCCAAGCAAGGCTCATTCCACAAAACTCCACTTCTCCCCTTAGGATTTGAACTCAGGTCCTCATATTGAGCATCTGTACTGCCTGAGTCATCTCTCTAGCTCCATATGCAAAAATTTTCCTTCATATTTAAATCTAAGATTATTAACTGTTAAAATATAGGTCATGCATGGTAGTATGTTCCTGTCAATTTTCAGTGTTCTAGAAGAGGAGGTGGGAGAATCAAGGCCAGCCTGGGCTAATAATAGAAGTGATGGTGGTGGTGGTGGTGGTGGTGACGTTGACAACAACAAATGAAGTCTGAGATTCATAAAATATATGACATCAATGAATAAAATCTAGTAAGAATGTTATCAACTGGACCACATCTGGAATCAACTAAAACCTAAGCAGTTGCCCATGTCTGTGAGGGGTTTTCTTGACTGGATTATCTGAAGTAGAAAGATCTCTCCTACATCTGGGCCGCACCTTTTGGTTGCAGTCCACATAAAAGGACATGGAAGAATTTTGCAAGAAAATGAATCAACTAGACAACACCATCCTGAGTGAGGTAACCCAGACCCAAAAAGATGAATATGGTATATACTAACTCATAAGTGGATACTAGTCATAAACAAAGGATATTGAGCCTATAGTTCATGATCCTAGAGAAGCTAAGTAACAAGGTGAGTTCTAAGAAAAACATATAGACTCACCTGGAAAGTCGAAATAGACAAGATCACCTGACAAAATTGGGAATATAGGGGTGGGGGAGAAGAGAGGATGAAAAGGGAAGAAGAGGGAAAAGAGGAGAGGTGAGGAGAACTTGAGGGAATGGGATGGTTGAGATGGAGAAAGGACAAAGATGAGAGCAAGATGATAGGGGAGTTCAGCCAATCACATTCTGTTTTTGGGGCGTGCCGCCCTCAGGCTAAAGCCTGCCTATAAACCTAGCAAGCGCACTCGGCTAGCTCTCTCTTTCGCCTGGTTCCTGTGCCTGGACGGATTGTTTGAATTCTGGTGTAAGCTGTTGTAAGTCTTACTTCTGTTTATTAAAGCTGTATATTTTGTATTAAGATAGTCTGGGGAATTTTTCATTACCAATCGCCCTGCGGCATCAGCAAGAAAAGAGATACCTTGATTGAGGGAGTCATTGTGGGATTAGTAAGAAACCTGGAACTAGAGAAATTCCCAGGAATGCACAAGGATGACCCCAGCTATGACCCTAAGCAATAGAGGAGAGGCTGCCTGAACTGGCCTTACCCTGTAGTCAGACTGAAGAATATCTTAAATATCACCATAGAAGCTTCATCCAGCAACTGATGGAGACAGAGGCAGAGACCAGCATTGGAGCACTGGACCGAGCTCCCAAAGTCTAGTTGAAGAGTGGAAGGAATGAGAATATGAGCAAAGAGGCTAAGACCATGATGAGTACACCTACTGAAACAGTCTACCTGAGCTAATGGGAGATCACAACACCAACCAAACTGGGAAGGAACAACATAGGACCAAACTAATCCCTCTAAATGTAG